TTACTGCAAGCACCGACGAAGAAGTTATCAGCTATTAGTTGATTCCAAGAAGTAAGCTTTTTTTCTACGCACTCTTAATATGCTAACCTATGAGACTATACACCTTGCTATACGCAGAACGATTTCAACCACTTAACCGTTTTTACTAATAATGATCAGCTTTTATCTGGTACAGCACACACTGAGACATTTTTAGTTTTTTTTTAACACAGGGCTAAACAGCGGCAGATTGTGGTCAACGATGTATCGATAGCGCGAGAAGCGACCATACTCGCACTTCTATCCGTTATGCTGCTGCTGTATCAAATCATTGCTGATCGCTAACCTATGCTGAGGAGCCGAAGCTAGATACCTAATGTTAACGAAGGCTCGTCATGAATCCATTATTGTGCTCCGTTGAATACTACAGCGAAAGGTCTAGCGTGTCCTGATACTTGTTGCCATCCACTTGGGAGTACATTTGCGGCCTTAGACCTAACATGAACAATTCCTTCGAACTCGAAGTTGATATCAACGAAATTGGAAAACCTTACTGACAGAGGAAGATGGGGCTGCACGGACCATTCCGCCTTTCAATGATTCAAAATTTCCACACACAGAGTCTTCGAGTTTTGTTTTTAGATATACACGATTCAGGAATTGAGTACTGGCCGCGTGGCTAATTTTTTTCAGCCATATTTCAAAAAGTGGGTTATACTGGCCGACTGGGTTATATTCGTGTCTCATCAAATTTCTCTTGGCGGTAACAAATAAAAGTAACCAGCTCGTTTTTCACACAGTCTCTCCTTTCCCGAGGCTGCATCATCAAAGGCAAATCAAGAGCAAGTATACTATATGGCCGCCCAAAAGATTGTATGGGCCAGCAGGGATAAAGACTGCATCGGCGGACCACTGCACTACGTTCCCGTTCAGAAAGTAGAAGTTTTAGTTAGAAGATGATTAGTTATACTAGAATTATGCAGAGCTACATTAATTATACTAGCCTCAGTGACACAAGAGCCAATTGTCATGTGGATTATTGTTTTTCCCCACTCGCAACTCACCGATGTGCCAGTGCCCACCCTATTCAAAACCCTGCTTCACATTGCGCAGCAAAACCTCTGATAGACGAATAATGAATTTGACCTGTCTAACTTACCATAAATTATTATAAAGCATCCGTGACTGCAGCTCCTTCCAAAGATAATTAGTGGCCCGTCGAGCCCCGCTTCTGGCCCATAAACTCAGCCTTGAACGACTATATGTCAATGACATGTCTTCAACTGAAATTTTCTCAAGAATAATTCTCATGAGCCCATTTCGGAGTGTTTGACGGATATTTCCATATGTTTTTCCCTCCTGTGGCATGGGTTGTTTTCATCGATGGCGTTCGGCAAATTTTGGCCCATGTAAACCCACCTCTCCTATTTAAGACTAACTGAGTATTACCCGACAAGCAGAGTGATAAGCGGTTTAATGGGAAGATCTGGAAGCCGCGATCCGGGACATTATTACAATAATCACTGACTAGCATGACAGCTTCAGAAGAGTACTGAAATACTACATGGTCTAGTTCCTGACGGGCATGATAATTCTCATAAAATAGCTAAGACGCCTTTGCTTGTATGTGTCCACAATGACAGCGGTGCAAAGGATCATGCTAAACATACTCAGGCCTTCTGCTAGACGGAAACTCAAGACATAAGATAAGCGTCTTGTTCGGTACATCTATGAGATTGGTGAACAATGGCACTGAGATCAACAGTTGGCCGGAGATGCAAGCACTGGATGAGAATACTGGCCGTACGGCTGACCGATGAAACTGGCAAAATGACGGGGGATGCAGATGATTCAGCAGGACCTGAGCGAAAGGAACACGACTGACAGATGGGCGAGCAGAGCGCAGGGGACTGATGCACACGTTAGTAAAGCAAGGTATGACATCCTTTGTGTCTTTAACGTAATTTCGCGCGGGTGGCACAGCGGAAAAGCACACATGAGGGTGGACCAAAATGCGACAAATGAACTCACTAATCCGCTAAGTTGAGCAGAAGGTTCTAAAGCCAGGCTCAAGGAAACCCCAACATAGACCTAAGTTTAATAGGTGAAAGTTCCGTCATACCAGTCCTTAGCGCCGTTTAGTCCTCAGGTTTACGCAGTTGATTAGCCCCTAATCTCCTCAGAACCCCAAGCTGTCGGCTATTTGCCTTTCGCCGGCCACGTAGGCGGACACAATGAGGTATTACGCTTACAGAATATAACTATCTACGAGGTCATTCCTTCTATGCAGAGTTGCTCTTCGACGAAATAGTATTTAATTGATGTATCACATACACATACATGACCATACAAAGGCCACATACATCGTTGTTTTTTGGGAGTAACTAAGTATGAAAATACCCCATTTTGAATATTGCGACTAACTAGTGAAAGCTAAATAAAAAAAAAAAAAGAATCTATTTTGCTATGTTTACTTTATCCATTGCCCTGTGATATTACATTTGGCGAAATGTGTTCTCTGTTGGTTTTTATTGAAGAACTACTATCCATGTTGCAACTACCCTAGATTATTACTCATTCTTTAGTGGTTTTTATAGTCATTAGTATGCTACTCGTTTAATAGGCACACTGATGTTGGGCCAAGTATGAATGTTGTATTTGTAAAAAACATGTCAAAAAACCAGTTTGAAGGATACCTTTTTTTATGTACATAGGTCATCACATGAATTGTTGTTAAGCTAATTCCCTCCAATACCAACAAATACTTTTCGTATTCGCATTCGTAAACCTAACCTGGCTAAAGGATGTATTTCGAACCTATTTCAGAAATATCCTTCCAGTATATACGCAACGAAATGTAACGCTACAAAGAGATGGCCCCAAATGATAATCCTGCAGGCGATATAATTCTCCATCGGGTTTAATATGCCAATTGGCGAGCGCGCAAACGTTTATATTTAAAGAGCCTCTAGGCATCTATAGACGTTAGCCTTTTGATTGAGCCTAGATATACCGTACTGTTCAAACTACGGGTGCAAAAAAAAACGCCATAAAAACTGTCCATAATGTAGTCGTCAACTCAACCTAATAAATGTTGTGTCATCATAAACATCTTCTGTCTAACGACAAAGGTTGAGGAGTACTTTCAGATTAAAAAAGAAAAAAAAACTAAAGCCGATCCTAAAAATAGGAGAAAAGTAGTCTAATTGAACAGGAAATGAAATGACACTTCATGAAATACCCTTCCATTTCGGCGGTCGGCGAGCATCAGTATGAAGGCCAATAAATGAAACGTGACCTGTACGCTTTCGTCTCTGTACGCGAGATACTGAATTGCACCTTTGGCAATTTCAGATATCTTCCTTTTCAAAGAAAGTTAAGGACTAGTGCATTATGCAAATCAAACGCTAGAAGATTCGAACCCACAAAAATCTGTCTTCTAAAGTCCTGGCTATGGACCTGACCCCATTACTTTGATGCACGTATGTTTCAGCTCGGCCATTCTGTTCCGAGATCTCATACGTAGTTTCAAGAGGCGAGGTTTCCCTGCTGAACTAAACTTAAAAGCTGATTTAGTTTATTTCGCCACTCGCTATGACCAACTTTCAAATAAGCGTTATTCCTATTATTGTTCATACATGTTCGCATACAATATTGCTCGTCTACTGTAACAAATGGAAACAAGCACGCTATTAATCAAAGTACTATATAATTCATTATTTGAATGATTTCTTGGTAAGAGTTGGGTAATCTTATTGCTCAATTTTCCTTGTGGGTTATGTGTCGCATTCTCTGCCGTCGAGACGCTTTCGTGCGCCACATGCAGTCCATAGGGGGTATGTTACTCAACTATACCGCATTCGTAGAGGTTTATGCTTTCGCGTCATAATCATTGCTATCGATGTACGTTGTTGATCATTACCTCATTCCTCATTCAGCTTCGAAGCCATATTAGCACCCATAAGAATCATGCTTGATGAGCTTGGTGATGAAATAAAATAGCTTCCAATCATAAGTTAAACTCTGTAGTAATATGTCCGAAGGGTACTACTTGAGGGATCATCAAAAAGTTTAAAAAAAAAAGTCATAATCAAGTATAAACACTTTTGAGAATCTCAAAAATACAAATCAACCACTAAAGAGTATTTGTTTTATCGCAGTCGTATCCTGAAGTAACGCGATGAGTTTCCTCTTCGTTCAGAAACGAAGTTAAATTTTGTCGGATGGGATCCAAAGCCAATCAACGTACTGTCTTCCGTTTTTAAACATCTTAAACATGATAACATTACATCTAGCGCCGAAATAGTGACCTTCCTTGATTTGATAAGGTTAATTATCGAATGGGAAACCCAGTCTGCTTGCACCAAATCCTTTGACGGCGAATTCATGACCTAGCTAACGCGCGATCATAAGTTCGTCAGGTTTTATTTAAAATCAGTCACTTACATTTTGAATATTTGCTAGGAAAAGTCATAAAAATATACTTTGTGTTCCTTAGATATACGTTACGACACTTATTGTCATAACGTATACCTAACGAAGCCTGAAAAGACCTTTTAATCAGTTGGCAATCTGAAGAAAGTGTGACTTTTTATGCCTACATTCATTCAGTGTAACTTTGGTTTGATGGAGACCCTTAAATCACGTGCTTTGTTTAGGACATCTTGTGTGCCTGGTTTCAAAGCCCTGAGAAAGCAACAAACGGCTACGATGTTGAGGCAACAAGCTTGTGACATGAGGATGTGACGAAGCGTTGTACTGGTTTATCTGTGTCCTAGTGTGCGGCCTATGTGGCGCGACGACAAACAGTTTAAACTCACCAGTGATATCTACGTTAGATGATTGACGCTGCAAAGATGAAGGACTATTTAAAAGCCTTTATTTCGTCTAAGCGCGCTGAAATGATAAAGCCTTGCGAGAAGTTCATTGTCTATAATTTTCATAACAAACCGAGGTTGAATACTTACGAGGATCTCTGCCGAGTAGCCTAAACCCTTGGTACACAAGCTATCAGTCGCAACTGTTGATACAATTACCTATCTTATATTGTCACGTACAGTTACTGCTAGTAAAGGATACGGTTTCGCGATCTTGTATGGTTCCAAGCTTTGGTACTATTCAACAACGAATCTCCACTCCTTCTCAACTGTTTTGGTTTGTCGAATGGAAACAACAAAGTGGAGCCGTTTTTGCTTGAAGTCCGACCGTTTGATTGTGGTAACCCCCTGCATTTTGACGGACGTCGAATGGGCCTGCCTGGGTCATCCCAGGTCAGGCTGGACGTATGGCAAAGGGCAGAACTCCGAAGACTACATGTCTACCTTGTCCACTCAAAGGCTGCATTTTACTCACAGCCAAACGTCATTACCGTTAAGGGAGATCGTCAAAAACAGGGTGGCGGCAGCGGCGGCTGCAGCAGCAGCAGTAGGCCAGACCAAACACATCAGGCCAGCACAAAAGGTTCGTTGCTGCGCGTAATTTATACACTAGAAAAGTAAGTTTAGTTGTCCCTCATTTATATTAAGGACAAGTCTACTAAAGCGTAACCTGCAGGCAAATATTAACTCGTTTAGTATGCAGGTGACACATAATCAGCAGAATACTTCAAATTGCAAACTGCGGACTCGTGGGTGGCTTCATCTGTGCGTGTTATAGCCGTCAGAGAATTTGCGCCAAAATATGCAGAAGACAGTGCCATGAAGTCTGCGGTAAGGTGCGGATAGATATAGAAAATACGACTTCCACGAATCCTTTGCTTCTATTCGCAGGTTACAGAAAACGTACTTATTTCAATAAACGGGTCATATCTACTTTTCACTTGGTACAGATTAAAGATATTCCACATTGAAGTTTTAGCGACTACTAACGATGCTAAGGATTCTATTTGTGATGATAACTTATGAATCACTAATGTATACCCTTAAGAATTCAGCAATTCTTTAGTAAAGTTTGTACGAAGTTTTAATTTAGGTACGCGGTCTCACAAGAAACAAATAGAATGAACACTTCCCTTATAAAGAACAAATGTGTCCACTGGTAGTTCCCCAAAGGGCCCTGGAAGAAACTGACGTTACTGAATACTCTTTGAATTCGGCTTCACTTTAAAGCTGCAGTTTTGGTCTCCACCTATAGGAAACTTTCTTTTAGGAAATACTACAGCTTAGATCAAATTCTATCCATATCAAAACAAGCATCGGTCGAAGTTCGACATGGCAAGCACGGTGGAAGCCGGCGTTAAATCTCTTACGTACCTACGAGATTTAAAGCATGGTCAAGGTTTATGAAGTCATGGTAATCGAAGCTCGGAATTTGGAAATGCTTTATGCTCAGGCCATTCTCTTTTCTTGTAACCCAGTAAACCGCGTTTTGGATTCGTTATGGGTGTTAGGTAATCTTGAGAAACGTACATTTCATTCAATCGGACATACTGTTCATTTCAACAGTGGATTCGTCTGCCAGTCTCCTTGACGGCTATCTGCGTGAGGCGGACGCAGTTCGGGCCGAACTCGCCGCCTGGGCAGAAGTCGAGGGCAGAGGTCCGTCAAGAATTAGCAATACTTCACCAGGCGCCGCGGACTCAAACGGTAATTCACAACAACAACAATCTGATCAACATAGAGCATTTGCACCGTTTGTGGAGACGGATCAACCGTTGTCCTCGATCATAGAATCGGAACAAGTTCTCGAAGCTTGCCTTGCCATTGCAGAAAAATACTTCAACCTGGGCTTCACAGCAGGGGTACGTTTCTGTCACGAAGCGATGCAGAAGGATTCGGATGAAAATGACCCTCTAAGTGAATCGAGCAATTCGGAGATCGTGTCAGATTTATGGGAAGAGGAACATTTTGACGAAGTAAGCAGTAGCACATGTGGCAGTACTAGCGGACATGCATCAGACGATGCTGAGGCTATGGTCAGAACAGAAGAGATTGAGACGCGATCGTCAGGAGAGCGTCTCAAATGCGAAACGTGGCCTCGATTACATGGTACTGCTGCATGCGGTGGGGACAGTGCAAATAATATTGATGACGAGGTATGTGCACAAATGATATTTTATTAAGTAACATTACATCGACATACTATGCTGTATTAGATAAATTCATTTATCTCAAGTGAAGTATAGGAAACGAACACTTTTGGTGCCCATCGCCGTATAAGACCCATCTGGAACGAATAGGCATTCAAAAAATAGTTTGAATGAAACCTCTCTACTTGATCTGGCGGGGTGTAAGCTAGCGTGTGATAGCGTTCGAACCTTTCGTTAACATAGCAGTTGCCTCGTGCCCACCTACTGGTAACGAACGGTCGGGTCTGGGAAAGCAATGGCCATCATTGCTATAGTTGGCTTGGCAGTTTCTTGTCGTATTCGCTCGAGTGATGAATTCACATAACGGTAAATCTATTTTTTTAGGAAATTGGAAAGAGAGTCAGTCGTACGCTTTTTCGAAACAGGTTTAAATTTTGATGCGCTCATCAGTATTTAGTACAGAGCTGAATTTTAATACGTGCCCAGGGTCAATTGGAATAGACATACAAAAAACAGGCCTGTCAAAATGCACTCTGTTATTTCCTTCATATTCCTCAACAAGTCCCGCCATAACTGAATTTTAGACGCTAAGTCCCTGATAGAGGGTTTGCCGTCTTACAGGCGGATCCCGCATCAGAGAATCCTAGTCCAATTCGGAACTGCAATTATCTATGCACTTGTTGATTGAAAATGTCCTTAGTATCCCGTTAGACAGCTGTTCTAACTATGCTATAATTTATTAAGTAACAGTTTTTGTTGGACGAGTGATCTGCTAATAATTGTTTAACTTTTATCCATAATGAGAGTACGATGTTGTAGCATTTGCACCGGTAACTTAATTGTGCCATTCAATTTGTTTTATCTGTTTTCGTTCAACAAAGAATCGCGTACTGCCGAAAACGACGGTTTGGCGTGGGGACAGCTCTCCTGCCTTGTTAAGAACCGAACATAAACGGAGAAGTTTATAACATTGGTGCTCGAAGGAGGCTCTCGCAGAAGTATATACCTACGGACATTTGTGTGCATACTTTTTTTGAATTCGGGATGGATTTCGGGGATTATTTGTGTTGAAAATGTGGCCCACACAAATATATAATTGATAGAATAAACTTTATTGCATTAAACCTGAAAAAGGATGGTACTTTTTTAAGCCTTTATTTAATCCTGAGAAAAAGGGTTCATACATTTGTTGTTAATGCTTCCTACAGAATATGTATGACAGTTATCTAAATTATGTTCCAAGTTATCAAATATTGTCAGACTGAATTGCACAACAGGAGGGCATAGTCCATTCATACATAGAGATAATATCAAACGGAAGCATAGCGACTGTCTTCCTAAACAATGACGAAGCCCCCAAGCATTGTTGTCAAAAGAAAAAAAATCCCCCTAGAGATGATCGTTTTTGACCTGTACGAAATGAAGAACCCCAGAAAACTACAAGCGCTGTTTCGGTAACCGTACATAGGCTGAATGGATAACCAAAGTAAAAGGTAATGAAGAGCTATTTGGCAATCCACAGTAGTAATGCTACAAGACATTAAATCCGGTGCCTTCTTACACTTAGCTTTAAATTCCTCATTCAACTAAATTGTAAATATTAGCCCCTACATGTTAACGAACCGTAATGGATTGAACATACGGGTGTAAATCATTGCTCTGGCGTGGACAATTGAAAGGTTAAGTAGGCTGCATCAGGGTCAATTGCTGAACGTTCATACAGAATGTACGCCGGCCCGCATCGAGCATAAGCCGACAATAAAAAAGAAACGAGTCCCATATTAGAAAGTACGTTCATTGGGTCGAAAAGATGGTCTCTGAATTTAGCAGGCAGCTTCTGAATAATACCGTCAACTAGCAGAGGTTACAATTAGGCTGGTAAAAGCGCACGATACGTTTGCCACCCGACACACCCGCCTTTGGAACCTACGCTCCGAAGTAAAATTTTGCGATCCGGGCTAAACGATAATAGAAAAAAAAAAAGAACTTTGGAACAGTCCAAAAAAAACTTAGCGCGTGCCTCCCACATCGACTTCAACAGCGTTCCCTGATACCCATTACGCGTTTTACCTTGAAACAGGCTTTTGGCCCAGGCGGTGTAAACAATGTTTATCCATATTGGGACCTACCAAGAACGCACTAGCGCGTGTGTTATCGGCGGCCTAATTAGTCGTCAAACGTACGCTGAAAAGTATAAACGAGAATTACTTATCGGTCAAGCTATTTTCAGGCGTCAAAGGTGCTTACGAGGTCTTTTGAATCTCTATATTGACCCAAAACAGCTGGAGTATTTTTTCAAACGATTCATAATTATATGCTTTCAGGATATCTGACTGTGGTAGGCATACCGTGCTTGAGCTGCTTAGCACCGAAGTACAGGTCAATAGCTCTTATTAGTAGGCATGTAGATTTAGATTAAAAATCGTAAGACGCCATTGACAGCTTGGTGAACGTCGAGGTGATGTCTTGTCGTTCTCTTTGTCAGTATCTGACAATGCGGTAAAGGGACTCGGATTGAAGACCCGGGCAACGTTACGTGAAACAATGTGCAACTACAGCAGCGATGCGAGTCATAGAACAGTCTAGAAAACGAGTGATGTAAGCGATACCAGAATATACAGATAGCTGTAAACGGTACCAGAATCAGATTTTGGTTATGCGGTATTCAAACGGACGGTAGAGGTCACAGAAAGCTATTAGGCGAGCCGACTATGGCTTCGAGTAGCGGCCAATAAGTAGCCTAGACGAGTTGTGCTAAAACCGCGGGTGCTTCAGCCGTCGCAGTGACCGTGACTATACCTATATGCTAGTGGTTTTTTTGTCAAGCGATGACACTCAGCTGAATGAGTGGGCGGCAAGCGTCATTTAAGAACGGCCTCAAGTCGCAGTTCACTATCAGAACTGTCTGCCGGAGACCGTATCTGTTGTATCAATAGTAGTAGGTTCCAGTCCTCGCGGTATTAGACAACAGGCTCGTTCTGAAGCAACGACAAACGTCGCTTGTGGCAGTAAAGTTTTCATTTTTATTTTAGCTTTGTTCCTCCAAAGCACAACTTTGTTTCTGCTTGCTTGTTATCCATCCGCCCATAGATACAACTACTAGGTCGATAAGCGTGGTGTGCGAAGTCTTCATATTGATTTCTGGATACCAGGATTTACCACTAATTACAACACTAATAGGCAGTAAGAGAGAAGAGGCAAGGGCCATATAACTATCTGAGCAGTTTTGAGTGGAGTGAGCTATTATTGCTGAGAAGTGAAGCTAAGCTTTTGCGCGCTTTAAACCGCTTGAACAAGACGCACGACTAAACGAAGCAGGTTCGTCTGCTCGATAGCGCCATTCCAGACACACGAAAAGTTTTCTTCGACCACAGCACCGCCGATAATGGGTAGCAACCGTGAAATAAAAGTGCTCTCCGAGCTGAGTGCAACGTCGTCATCTACAGCAGGAAGCAGTGGTCCACACGATCCTACTTTTCTCGGCGAAAAAGTGCACACTAGTGAAAATAAGGCTGAACGTCGCGAGTATCACAGTTTCGACGAGTTCCCTACAGACGCTCGCAAATACATCGATGAGCTGCTCGGTCCTGAGGCGAAAACGAAATTCGACAATATTTCGGTTGTGAGCGAAGAGACAACAAGGTTAGACAAAACGCTAGGTGAAGGGGATTTGTCAAAAGTAATTGGGGTTGGAGGTAACGCGCTCCTCCCTAGTTATCACTTGCCGCTAAATATCCGACTGAGCCACGGATGTACAACAACACAAATCAAAGCAATTTTTTAATTTTACATCAATGTGTCTGGTTTAGCAAATATGCCTGGCGAGCAATCTATCATGAACTTCAGGCCAGTCTTACGTAGCCTTGTTTATGTTTGTGGATGTTTCGCTCGTACGCGTTTTTGAAACGTATATCCAAAGCTCAAAATTACGTATTAGAACTTTATATAATGTGCTATATTATGATATGCAGGCGATGTCATGCACATCCTGCGGCTCCAATAGAAACCCGCGTGAAATTACAAAACTAAATTACCAGTGAAAAGTTTGTTTTTCTTCTAAATGTTTAGACATTCATGGTGTTTTCGGATAAGGCAAGTTTTTAAGATAATTTATCGTTTAAATTTAAAATTAAAAAAAAATTAAATTTAAAAAATAAAATGCAATTTAGGATAGTTAAAAAAAAATTAACCATCCACCCTTGTTTATCTATCTCCTAAGACGTAACCATACAGTAAACACACCGCTGTTTATTCTATTCAGTCGGTCCTCCTTGGCCTTTATAACAGTAGCATAGAGATCGTAGGCCTTGGCGTATATGCCATACCTATGAAGTCGTTTGCCTGCTGGCACAGTTACGTCTATTTTCACACGCGGGTGTGTATATATGTAGGGCATGCAGTGATCAATGGCTAGTGACCAATGCAAGGCCATGTATAAGATGATGAAAGCACCCTGCTATACGATGCTGACGCAACTCGCATAGGAACCCTAGTGCATGCCTATGTAGGGGCTAGCAGTGACTGGTTATAGCAAAACGCTCTTTTCCGCTCGATTGCTGCCTGTATTATTGTTAGGCCTACTTTTACCTGACCCACGTGAGCGTTGCACAAACCCTGCTACCGGCTGGCAATTGATGCAAAAGATTATGCTGCCGCACTCCACTTCAATACTTTTCGATTTAACTGTAGCAGTGCCAGCAATAGCAACTCGGTCAGACACCGTGGGCGGCCTAGGTCGATCGAAGAGCTTCGCCGAGCGGCATCGACAGGCATAGAGAGCCTGTGCGAGAGCAAAAAGAAAATGAACTTTTGAACATTTATTTTTTGACGAACTAACAGTGGCATTGGCACCTGCCAAGACCTACAAATGGTCTTTTTTTTTGCCTCTTGTCGTTGTTCGCAACATAATGCCTTTTCCCTGTCAGGCCTACTTAACGGGTATAATGCTTACTACTATGTGGGGCAGGGCCTTCGGTCCGAAGCCTTGCAGCTTGACAGTAAACTTCTAGAGCCATTCAGGCTGGTCACCTACAGCAAAATGTGCGCTGTAAGAAGTGCCTACGACCGCATACTCCGATACGTGACTCACTTTGACTATAGAATGTAGTGGCGGATAGTAGTATCACTGCACTGTTGATCTCCATAGTGACATCGCAGACGGCATGAGTATGGACTGAGACTTTCGAGTGACAGGACCTGTCCTATGCGAAATATACCGATCGACATTCAACTGTAGTGATACACATAATTGCCTCGAGAAAGTCGTAACAAGTTGACCACTATCCCGACTATCGTAGACTGAACATGAAAATTTCACTTGGCTGCACTATCATAGGCAACAAGAACAACGAACCTTAGAAGTAGAAGATTTTTGCATCTTACACACTGCTATGTGTTGATACTTCAGATGTTTGAATGGTGGTAATGTGTGTGTCAGTGTGGTTGTGTGTGCAGTACGCTTAGAAAGTACGTATTCATTGAGCAGACCATTTTCGTTTATTTCGTTAATATCGTAAACAGCAACCAGCGCCGTCACTAAATTGGGCTCATGATGCTTCGCTTCATCTATTTTGTGTCAGACTCCAGCTAAACAGCTAACCGCTTGACCTGGAGCGTTGATGGACGTTAGGAGCTATAGACTATAGCGCTAAACGTACACTCAGTTTGTCCTTAGAACGAACCGGATGAGAGACATTTGAGAACCATGCTTCGCAGGTACTCACAGCCGGAAGTGAGCGTCGTAAACATCAGCCATAAGAAGATCGTTGAAGAAAATCGAAAAATTCCGGTAGTTGACGAACGCGCGATGTCATCTCAACAGACGACTGAACAAACGTCAATCTCCTCTCGTGACAACACATACAAGGTAAAGCAGCGTGCTTCTTATTAACAGTTTTTACAGTTCGTTGTTCCAAGCTATATTTTCCACAAACGATAAACTATATAGTACTGCCTAAGACTGGCACTTGTGCGGCTAGCAACACTATCCTTCTTGGACATAAACTCGCACCTTAAAATTACATATCGAAAATACATGGCAAGGTTTTTGAGAAGTAGAAGGCCCTATATTACTGCTATAATTTGATGTAGTCGGACGTAGCAAGAGGTATTTTTTCGTTTAAAACGATTTATCAACAAAAATATCTATGTGGCACCTGACTTACAAGTTACAAAAGACGTCTGGACTATTTCTACATGTAAAGTAATATCTCTCGAAGGCAGCTACCGGAACCTTAGTTTTGTTGGTTGATCACCATTTCTGCAATTTCACGATGGAAGGACAAAACGATGTTTACGTTGAGTACGCCTTTCTGGCATCGTCCATAAATTCCCTCGACGATGTCTTGAGCGTCTTCTGAACTCTGCTTGTCGATATCATAGGGAACGAACATCCTTACATATGACAACGGTAAAGAACGAAGCACCGCGGCCCAATTTCGAAAATAGTTGTAATATGCTCGAGTACTTTTATTATAACAGTTATTCCGAGGATAAACGAGGCACATAGCAAAATCACGACAAAACAGAACAACTGACCATCAACCGTGCAAATTTCGTAACAAAATTATAAATCTAGGACTGCCCCAGACGATGCACTATTAAAACTAATATAATTTCACAGCAACGTACCTTTTCACAACATTTGCAGGAGGAGACAAAAACGTTTACAAAGGATATGCTCGACCAGCTTCCAGAGGAGTGCAAAAAATATATCAATGACTTCATGAATAGTCAGGGTAGGTTGCCCTAGGCAACATGACAATTCGCAAGGTTTAGTTTTTTTGTTAGATTTTTTTATTTATTTATATTTAGATTTTTACCTAAAATTTATTCCTTCTGAAGCCTTGGATCAGCATTGCAGAATAATCGTATTAGGGTTTTAGCAAACACGTTATGCTATTGTACTCGCGGCCGTACAACGTCTCTGACCAAATCTGTACACAAATAGGACAAAATTATATAGAGGCTTGTTAGATTCTCAACAGTCTAATTATTTAAATTAACTATTCGTTCTTTAAAGCGTACGAGCACTGCTATCGCGTGTTTGAATGCAAGGTTTGCATAGAAAAAACTAGATACTGAAGTGCTCTCAAGGAACTTGGACCCAATAACGTAATGAACCAGAATTTTTTGTATGTCGAAGTGTACTTCGTTACAGTTATGTCTACTCACCGCGATTATAGTTTCAATACATCGTTTCAAATAGTCCTCAGTAAACCGCGTGCCAAGCTGTATCAGTAAATGTAAATTTAAAAGTATAACTTGAAGACTCTATATACAAAAAATATTAACGGGTTTGGATCTTAGACTGACAGCAAGCCAAAGGTCAGCGAAAAGCAAGGACAAAAAGCTTACTTGGACGACCCAATCGGAAATTGATTTTCTTTGGCCTAAAGCGGCCGTTAGGTTCTCTATTAAAGCCTATATGAATCAAGAACGGATTTTTTGAGCCGTTTTTTATTGAGTTTTTCTGAGCCTTTATTGAAAAAAAATCATATTTACCTCATGAGAATTTCCCTCGTTTTTTTCAGAGACCAAGTTAAAACTGGCAAAAGAGAAAATTTTTAATTTTTTACGGGCGTTCGTCCAGCGCAAAGGGATCGGACAGCGGGTGTATTCTATGACAAGTTAGTTTTGTTTTAGAAAAAATCGAATATCCCCGTTTGCCATTTCTTACCTGGGCTATCAAAACGCCCAGCCTAATGAATAACACGACATACGTATCGATAGATCGTCGATGACGCCGTGAAAAATAGCAATAAAGAGGACTTTAGGCCGATCCATGCAGGTTTCGTTATCATTGATGATTTCAAGACGCCTTCCGACTCTGAAGTTCAGGTTGATCAATTGGGGCACATGGTACAAGGGTACACGATTTCGTTTGCACTTACGTATATAAACTTTGCAGTAAGATCCTGTAGAGCTGATCCGTTAATCTGCTAGAAAATTTAAGCTATTTCTAAATTAGTTACTGTTATACATATTTATCGTCATATCCATTTATGTATTGTTAATTTAACGTTGTTTGTATTATTTAAATGTTTGATTTCAGCACTCGAGCTTGCTTGATTAACATTTAAGTGTTTCAGTGAGATGGCCTATATAAATATTTATAGAAAGGGTTCCAGTGCAGTTATAGCAAATGATTTAAATTTTTCAAATGTGCGCGCGCGCGGTCGTGGCTCGCATGATTGATCTAGCGCACTCTGATTTGATCCATACGAGGTAACATGTACTAAAATAGTCTGCGTTGATTATCTATTTGTTTTATTGTTAGGGATGCAAAATAAGAATATCGAGCACGTGACTGTTCATACGACAAGAGAAAACACCACATCAACCGGGTATACCAACGATATCCCCGACCTACAGGTACATACTAGCCGAAATCTTAATATATACGATAGAACAATCTATCCATGATATACTAACTGCTAATTTAAACACGACCACTAGTATAGAAACTGAAACGAACTGCGGGTTTACCCGCTGGATATATAACGATTTTTTTCTTGCTTCAGATAAAAAAAAGCGGTCCATTGGATCTGGTCGGAGGCAAACGATGTCGACTCATCTTGTAGTAATTGCCGTTTCGAAACTAGGAAAGTTAAAATAGTACAAAAAAAATAGCCGGCATCACAATAAATGCTTTTATACAGCGCATATTCTCCCATATTTCATTAACCTTTTTTTTTTTGTATATTTGTGTTTGTGTTACTATACGATTAGGTTAAGAATTGTCTTCAGTCACACGACAAAATTGTCGTTGAAATCGATGCGTCAGGTTTCACCGCTGAGGATATCTCCATGAAGGTAAGATTGGTCGATGTGACTATGTAGTTTGACAGTGTTACTGCTACACGAAAAAATCATATTATAACTAGGATATCCTATTCATGTAGAAATGTTATTACCGACTTCAAAGATTTATTGCAGCAGGGCAGATAAACATGTTTTTCTTTGACATATGATTGCGTGGGTAGCGCAGAATGGGGTCCGTTCACTAGTCCGTCGTGCATTCACAAGACACTTGTAGATGAATTTCTGTAAAATATTGTTATGAGATGGGGTAGCTCTCTTGTTTGTCCCCAACATTGTTATTTTCAGCATTGGAAGATGATTATTTATTACGTTCAGTGTTTTTTTGCCAATGACGTTAAATCTAACGACAGGTGATGGCAATTCTTACTCCCTTTTTGACACTAACATTTGAGGCTACCGCGTATTCAATATGCATTCCCAAATTTTTCGAGCCTAAAAGTGTTTAGGCTTTAATACCATGGTTATTTATGAGAGCAAAAAATATAACTCAATGAATAATACTGCATAGCTTCGTTTACAACATTGGATTAAGTAGCACAATATATGCCGCCGGTTCTGTGTATGTAGGATAAGTACCGTGGCGATCCCTAGATCGCGTATAGTCTTGTTTGCTTATAGCTTTAGTCCGTCAATCAAACTCACATGAGTGGGAAATGTTAAATTTGTCAACTCAGAAAACTCGGCCAAAGTTCCTGCAACAAAAACCCGTCGTCGGGCTTGTCGATTCATGCGTATAAGTTTATATAAAAAATGAAAAAAAAGAACTTGCTTTATTCGTAAGTGAATTTTTGGTTGTTCATACGAATTGCGCAATGTTTATGATTCGAAATAACAACTTCCAATCATTACGCCTTTACGCATTTTACTAAAAATTTTCAGAGTGCATCAATACGCAATTTTTAAGAGCGTCCTTTATTCACAGGTGAGCGGGCGCAATCTCGTGATCCAGGGCAAAAAAGAGGGACCAGATCCTCGTGATCCAGCTACAACACTTCGTAAGGAGCTTAAAAGAGACATCGTTATGCCGCCTGGAGTAGATGCCGCACACGTAACTTGCTCCCTGTGCGCTAATTCAGGAAAGCTGACGGTTATAATCCCTTTCCCGCAGCCGGTCGGGGGAGAATACACAATCCCAATCAAGACAATTTGAAAATGTAAATTTTCAGCCTTTCAACCATTGCATTCTAAATTTCGCACTACGTACCTGCTTTGGTTAAGCCTAATCTCACTCTCCAAAAAAAACGCCAGCATCTGTCTGTTTTGTTTAACTAGTTTATGTACTGTGTATTATCGACCGTGCCTCTTGCTAGGTAATTGGGTAAACACCACTTTATCTCTGAATTGGCAAGAATGAGATGCGAAATGTTCTAGTTGCCCGGACCCGGGCCGCTATCATACTCTAATGACAGAATTATTAACAAACAGGTAATGTGTTAAATAGCTGATTAACAGACTCATAGTCATTCCTATGAAATTTTTCCTATGAAAACTAGCTAATACTAATGAAAGGCTAGTCACTTGAATACAGAGCACTGCAACTGAATAAAACAACAAACACAAACCGCTTATCAGATTCCAGCACTTTGGTCCAAATAAATAGTACCCATTTGGGTAACCATGTTTCGCTTTTGCTAAAGTCATTTTAGTTTGACGTTTGGAACAGCGTTAGTATTTCATAAGAAGGTCGAGCAACATTCAGATAGATAGACATAGCTACTTCATCCTCTACAGCAGGCTCAGCTCTGCAATAAGTTATGATTTCGTATGAACAGCCTCAACTTTAAATAATCAAAATTTCAAGATTTCTATCAAAAAACGTATAAGTATTGCTCTTTCGTTGCGGAATTTATAGGCGCTATACAAGCTAAGTAACGTATCGTTCAGATTGAGCGGACAAAATCGACATCAATATATATTTCAGTAATATTTGTGCTGAATGATCGGACTTATTTTTATGGTTGTGCATCGGCGCTCACCGATTTGAATTCAATTCATTCATTTCTTACTCCGCTGATTAACTATATTACCCGATTACCCGAGTATTGAATTGGAAAAACGTAATCGTGGAACAACTTACGTTTCAATCTTCTCCTAATACTTTAATAATAGTACGTTGTTATTCCTTGCAATGTTGAGCAGTATTCTCGTCCGAGGTGCAGGACGCTACCGACCAATATTCCTTGTTACTTTCTTGCAAATCCAGTTGGTCTTCTTTGTTTGTGATATACCCATACCGGCTGAGCCTAATGAATTCATCATTGCGCTCATACAAGTTCCTGGTTATCCAGGACCAACTGAATGGGCCAGCCTGCGTTTAAAGAAACGAAACTATTAGGCAACGTCAGGCCTAGTTTACACGGTGCTTTCGACCCGCCATTTGACAAAATGGTAAAATGTGAAGGCATACCTAGCTTAGCCTAGTTTACCTCGTATTACCTCAAATAGCTTCTCGTTGGCCTACCTAAAAACATGTGCAGAATGTGCCAGTGACTATCTTACTCAAAATGAAGCCCTAATCTGAAGTAGCAGTAGAATTAGCGTCGAGCTACGGATCAACTGCAAAATCACGATAGAGCTTACGCCAGACGACTATTTACTAGACGAAATCAACTTTTCAGAGGAAATAGCTCTGTCTCCGTTAGGTTATAAGCATACGTGAATCTAATTCTAACTCTCGAAACTATGAAATCAGCGATATGATTTATCAGAGAACGACGTCAAAAACAGGTAATAAAGCACCTTTTACACATTTTCTTCATGCAACCCACCTAACAAAAGCCAGCAAAAACCATGCTTAAAGATTACCTGGCCTCCGTATTCTTCTGGAAGGACTGATGGACAAACATGTTTGTGAAGTGATGCCATATTTGAACCATGCAGATATACACGCTTCTGTAAGAATAAGGGTGGCGTTTTTGTTTGCTTTGCAATGGCTCCATATTTTTATTGCCTTCTTCCCTTTTCTATTTTGTTCTTTTCGGTAAACTATTTACCTTTAGATCAATTTAATTTATAAAGCATTAATCGATCATAGGCGTAGCATACACCGTAGACAACGGGAATATATTCACTGCTCGATATATGTATATGCCTACATATGCTGGAATGCATTAAGTTTTACTGTATCTCAATATGTGCTTACCTTAATCTTCTCTTTGAGAAAAGGTCGCGCAACTGCCCAGACGTAATCCCATAATGAAGATTGGTTAATGACGTGGAAGCCTTTGAAGCGACACGGATAGCCATCTTGAATAGTCATGATCAGGGCCTGTGATCAGATATGTTAAATGGTTAGCAGCTGTATAAGTGCAATATTTATGATTGTCATTTTATTACTTGTGCTTCACTTCATATTGAATCTGCTCTAACGATCCGAAGCATCCACAGTGCAATACCAAGGAAAATTTATAATCTTCATTAAAAGTCAAAGGTCTGTATCTTTCTTCACCACGGCTTAGCAAGATTGTAAGTCTGATTTCTGCAAATGTTCAATTTCGTGTGCTAATTTAGCCATTAAACGTTTGATATGAATGGGTTCAGAAAATCAAGTTAGTACGTTATAATCGTATGCAGTTAGGTAATTCTCGTTCCAAATATTATGTGGACTATCATCTAGAAATTGAAATCTTAGATCGTAGATGAAAATTTTGTGAAAAGGAACAAAGATAGGCTTGTTCGAGCCGTTTCAACCATCCCGCTCACCCTTATGGCCGAAAATGGGAAGTATCGTATATACGACAGCTGCATTTGCCCACAGTCCACCACCATATGACAACCGGCAACCTAAATGATAATTACCGTCGTAAAGATCAAACGAGAGGTTTAGTTGGATTTTGGTTTCACTGAATAAACGAATATAAGTGCAACTAAGGCCTTTCATTTTGCAGATCAACGTTTAACCCAACTTATATGTAAGTATAGTGAGTTATCGAACTTACTTGCGCTTGGTCTTGGCGTAGTCTAAAGTCGCCACCCATAGCTGTTGGGGTAAATATGTCACTTAGATCAAAGCCACACTCGGGGCTCCATTTGCCAACTCGCCAAATGACTATGAAAGCGCCATCGATGGGGTTGTAAGGTTCGAGTTGAGTTCCCGTAGCTAAGTCAAAAGCGGGCTTGTATCGTAACGGACCAACGCCCACCGGAAGGTATCTTGCGGGGTCGATAAGCCTGTAATTGTAGTTGACTTAACGTTTTCTGTGTCTAGCTAGGTTTCTATCCAGTTGAATCACTGTAAAAATACACTATTCCCAGCATGCGTTATAACATTAGATTACGAAAGGGGTTTATGGTGTTGAACGAGCCGATTCAATAACCAGTCGGCATGTTTGTATATCGTAATGCTATTACTACACTTAAGCATACTTGTAAGTGGCCGTGCTCGTACCTAATTGTATGGAACTTCCTGTAGGATTTGTAGGCCTTCTCGACATCAAACTTTTTTGAACGAAGAAACCGCAGTAGAAAGTTCTCGTCCACACGCGGATTGAAATTTTCTATCTGTCTGACTTTTTCTGATAATTCCTTGAAGAACATTATTGCAAACAGTTAGTATAATCATCTTAGTAAGTTAGTTGCCACCTACCAAGGGAAGTCGATCAAAGAAAATTATTTAAGAGACTGGCTGTCCAACTTGTGAATCCGGAAGTTTCCTGAAGCGTATTAACAATAAAGGAAAATAACTGCGACGGAAAGAACGAGCTCGCTTCACTGGATAGACGGTTGGTTTTATCAACTGAACAGTTAGCAGCTTTTATGAAGGTCGCCATATAAAACTCTGTCAGAATATTATATCACTAAATACGTTTAACTTAGTAGAATAGTTAAAGACATGCCCTTCATTAATCCCTAAAAAGTGTGTTTGGAAAAGAAACTGATTTTCATATTTACAATATTGCACAAGGACTCACCTTCAAAGCCTTAGTTCGAATTTCAGGTGTTTCACCCAATTCTTCCTTTGCACGTCTTTTCCAGTCAAAAGGGTGGGCCTTGCAATCCACCTGCGATTGGATCTGGCTATTTAAGCCTTCCCTCTTCTGACACTTCTTACCCGATGGATTTCCACCCATAATGGACGACTATTAAAACTGCTTGGGTTATCTACACTCACCCGCCTCGGTAGTACGGTAATTCCGAGAATAACGGTTAATTAGGACTAATCAGTCCTATCCAGGTGCAAAAGCATTAGATCTTCGAAGATGTGCATAAAGCTAACTGCAAAATGCTAGTCCGCGTTTTATGTCTATTCACCGCTTAGAGCCAGCTTCGTCTTTTTAAAGAGCGATCTTGTTTAAGGAGAGCCTTAAAAATCAAAGTGAACACGCACTACAATGACTCTACTAAGCGGCTAGCCATCACAGGAGATATTGAAAATGATACTGTAATAAACTAATAATTCTATTAAAGAAAAAACATTTAATAAGACTTAAGGGCAAACAAGCTTGGCTGAGCTGAACTGACTGAACTAGTAGTCTTCGATCGCGCATAGACACGTCTTACTATTTACTAGTGACGCTTTGTACCGTTGTATGTATATACGTACATACAAGTCGCGCTAAAACGCAAGTAAGGGAACATGGAGGAGTGTGAAGTGGTACACTACCAAAGTCCGACAGGCGTAAGTAGCTGGCGCCGCCACAGAACCATAACGAAGACCGGTACAACGCTCCAACTTAACAGAATAAATTCTGACGTAATTGCTATTGTACAAACGAATACACCGCATCTCTTAGATATGCTATAGCGAATAGACCCCTTCTCCAGCGGGCTCCTAGAGAAAAAAACATTTTGCGAGAAAGGGTTGATCATCGCCTTGGTGCGGAACCTATCTTGCGGTTTCTGTATCTGGGCCTCGTTCGAAGTTTAACCTTTTCAGTACGTTGCTACTATCAACTTGCAGTTGCGACTGTCTCTGTTCAAGACTGTCACCCTCTCAACAAGCGCGAAACCTTATCTTGCCCGTCTGTGCGTGAAAGAGGTTTGATGCCATCGTATCTTGCAGTTCTGAAGCGGCATATTGAAACACTGCACTGCGCGGTCGAATAGCTGTTAGCGTTTTCGGGTCTCTATTAACGCAGCCTACAAGGTTATTAGCAGACACCGAAGCACGCGGAGAAATAAGGGGGAGTCACCACAACAAAACGTTGCACTGAAGTTAGCTGAAGATATACGGCACAAAAAACAGCTAGCGATTGTTCAGTTCTCCCAGACGATGCACAGCCGAGACTGGTAAGGTCCAGAAAATCCAATGGCGACAGTTATTGACATCATTTTTTATCATGAACAACAGAACCATCGTTATAGTCATTACCTAAAAGTACTGCAAAAGTATTACGAAATACGCGCTAGCGATATGAGAGTGTAAGGAACAAAGGGAAAGGGGTTCAAATATAGGGTAGACGCGCGTGTTACGATGACAAAAAGAGTCGTCGATACGTAAAAAACGAGAGAGGCGGAATAGCAACAGTGAGTAGTTTCATAGTGAGGTATTTTCAACAATATATTAAACACACAAGTTATGCGATATTGTTAATATTATGAAGCTGCTAATGGAAGTTTACTGTGTCAAACAACAGACATCATTGCGGTATCCGGAATTTCCGGTCTCATTTATATCTGATCTGTCGGATGCTTTTTGGCTATTTGCTATTACGATACCTTGCTAAAGCCGGTAAAACTGAAACACTCGTGTATATGATGGCGTAGTACACACATAAAAAATCTACGAAATATACATTGCAAGGATACTGTGCCGAATTAGGGTTTTGTCTTTCGTTTACGGAATAGACCATTTGTTCACCTACAGCCGAGTATTAATGATAAGGTGAACATTATTATTAGGGGTCCCATTTTTAGCATTGATCAAGCATCAATCTTAGGCATCGATTAACAACAATATGTAACAGATTGATGTAAAAAAAAATCACTGTAGTTCTGAGTACCTGTTTATGATACAATGCACCCACTGCTACTAGACACCTACTGATTCAATAAACAACCAAACTGAGTAAAAACATTCATAAAATTATAGAGTGCGTATGTCTCTGGTCGCATATGTCTAGGTATTCTGAGACGGAAGGAGGAAGCGGCTGGACTTCTTTAGCTTCTATCTAATTGAAGAAGGCGGATTACAAGGAATGCAGACGGCCCAGCAGAATAGGCGTAACACGAGCTTTCGAAAATCCCTTAAAGAGAAAAATCGACCTGAAAGGGTGAGTCCTGAAGCACAGTCTGAAGCCAGTACACTAGACGCTGATACACATTTAGGTATTTGCAAGAATACGAAAGACATTTTCAGCTCCTCCTAAAGCTTAATAGATCTTCAAAAACTTTGAAAGCCTGAAAGATAAACCGAAATACTAATGAACTCACAAATCTGTTAGCTTTTCCTGCAAGTTTTAATCTGAAGTGATCTTAGAGTCACTACTGAACTAAAGCTTTAGGACTATATGACCAGGGTTCAATAAGCGAGAGCCCCACAGTGCCGCTAATTCTTCTATAGTGATGTCTGGTATGCATCAACTAGGTCTTGATCACTTCAAGGAAAGGTAGTGTAAATCTAAACCCTAAAATAAGAAACCTAGTAGATACGCTTAAATACCATTATCCGTATCAGACGTTCATTGTGCGTGCTTTCTGTATTTATACTAGGATGCCGCGGCTGCTTATTGATTAGGACCGCCTGTATCTTACAGCAATGAAGTAGTAATTGTGTCCTTGATTCTTCGTAGCAGCAAATCGATTAGCACTAATTAGAAAAAAGTCCAATAAGTTTTCAAAGCCTCTAACTTCGTTAACTCACACCGTCAGAGTATTCATTTTTATTGCAGGTGGCCAACTAGAAATACATCAGAGAAAAGATATCGCTGCTATCCTCACTGTGACGCCTAGGAATTAATCATTATCCATAAGGGGACTTTACTGGAACATTCTCTATTTTTATCAAACTCCTATTCGTTGGACCCTAGACTAGAACTCTTCCCATTAGCAAGATGAGCTTCGACCTCTTATAAGTCAGTTGCAGTTCTCGGTATGAAAAAAAATAAATAATACTTACCAGTACTACGCAAGCACGTTTTCGTCACATATAGATGTGTCTGTATACATTTCAAGATTTAGATTTAACCTTAACGCCACTTTAACTTCGAAACGCTTCCAAAAGGGCAAACGCATAATTTTCTTCACACTTCCTACCTATGGTAACCATAGGGTAACCGTACGTTAAATCTACAGTAGTGTACAACGTAATCATATCTTCGATAGCGTCAGTGCACTTTACGGCAGGACGATATATTATCCTCACCCGTGATGATTGTATTGTCTACACCGTATACTACAGTACCTCACACAGGAAACATTGCAGTTTATCATTAGTTTCATCGGGCAAAATCTTCCGTAAACGAATTAACCTCCTCCGACAATTAGCTGTCCAGCTGGCGGGCAGTCTCTTTTTCTAGTTCTTTTTCTAAGTTCTAACGAGACACGGGAAATAATTACACGGTTATTAGTGGCAATATATAGGTCAGTCAATCTCGGTTTTTTTAGAGATTTTTCGATTTAGTGGCCGATATAATCCTCTCAGTTTACCGACCTCAACCTATCTGACTATTCGCAAAACCGCTTAGAAGCAAGGTTTACTTTATAGTTACTCTAACGGTAATTTACAGCAAAGGAAATTATTTACTTGGGCTTGATTTCTGTTAAACTTCGGTGGCCATCAATCGGAAGCAGTACAACTGTGAGCTTCAATAACAACTGCTTTGACCCCACCACGACAAAATATTCTGGAATGAATGAGCCTGACGACGACGGCGGCGGCGGCGGCGGCGCCCGCTGCATCGGCTGAATCGGACGGCTAACATACAATGGGAATAATAAATGGAAAATCACGCCATAGTAGTATTGGACGCGCATACTGATAGCAAAGGGCAACATAATTTAATGCGGCATAAAAGAAGACTCTCCTCTCCGGAAACGACTCTTCACGCACGAAACACAACATGCTATATCTATAGTAACTAAAGACTGGCATCGTCCTTGGAGCCAATCCGTGGCGCCACGTAACATCTAACAACAACAACAACAACAACAACGATCGAATCAAAACGGTAGATGAAGTATTGTGCAATACGGCAATTTAGCCATATTACTCATACTAACATAATGTGTTATATCGATGAAGCATAGCGCGTCGGTCAATAAACTATGAGGTCTTCAATTATTAACTTATCCGGAGCTACCTGATAAACTAAAAATTCTAATAACTTAAAATAAAACGCGTTATTAGCAGACGTGGTTGAAGGATTTTTGCGTAAAATTTGACTATCTACCAACCTAAGCTGACTGAATACCGTCAAGGGCTAGTACATTTGGAGGCAAAGATCTTGTTAAGTGCTTAAAATCAATACTGTTCTCAAAGGTCGGATCATTAACAGATTGAATATTGGTGAAAACACTTTGCAATGAGGCACTTAGCAAGACACCAGGTTATCACTGTTGAAGTAAGTTAAGCACAGGGGGAACGGCTACATCTCACGACAGGTTGCTACATTATGGAAACTCTGGAACAAGATCAATCATACAAATCGCTCCCTGTAGAATTAGTATGAGATCCTTCAAAACTGCAGCGAAGGCACTTAGGAGGACGAGGTAAAAAAAATAGACGAGCTTATATTCCTTGTTAAAAAAATAATCAAACTAGAAAATATCAGGAAAAAAAACAGCGATTTCGGTCGCGGTACCGAAGTAACTGAAGCATAAGCTAATTATGCCTCTGTTACAGCTTGAATTAGAGAAGATAAAAATTGAGTGAGCACCTTCGTATCCACATACTCCATGTTCAAGTCTATATGATTTTGATTGCTTTCATGCTTTCAAAAGGTCAATAGATATTGTAGCGTATTTTACCGCCAATCTTTTCAAACAAACCATCGATAAGGGAATTAAGCAAGGTAAGGCAAATCAGAAATACATGGGTTGTTGGGAGACTCCCACATCGCTGACTTCACTGTATAAGCAATAGAGGAACAGACGTGGTCTATGTTTTACCCTGTTCTTTTTTGAAGTTTTTCGACTCGCTTAACGATACATGTTAAATAGAACAGGAATAAGAGGGTAAGCTTTTTTTGCTTTGCAAAACTTCTAAAGAAAGGACTTATTGCCAATTGCTGTTCATTGAATGATATTATGGGACATTGATATTTGTCGGCCTGCTCAATTCGTTCCTAACCAAAATAGTTTCTGTATTTTTTTAGGCAGTATATATGTGTTCATTTAAGTCTGTCGCAGCCTTTGAAACTTGTAGAAACAGTAACACTGCACAGATTTCTATAATTGAATGGTAAAAAAAGAATGATATGTTTTCGCTGAAGTGCAATAATTGAGAAATTAGTATTGAAAAAAAAGAATTGCCGAGTTAAACGGTATCGGACACCTCAAGTTTAAGAGGGACTGTCCACGGTGGCCAAATCTTTTTTATTTACAATTTAAGATTATAGGTGTGTTGCTATCGTCATGGGCCCGTCTTGCGAATTCAAATGCTTATTTATTGATGTTATTAATGTTATTTAATGATGCCTATTATGATTTTTATACCCACTAATAGTTTGGCAGTAGATTTAAGAATGAATGCTTTTATTGTAAATGCGACCTAATAGCAAAAAGCCATTAGCAAAGCCATTTTATACAATGCCATTGTGATGAACTAGTGTGACAAACATCTATTTATATTTAGATCTATAGATAAAACTCGTGATAAATCAGAATAATTTTATAGGAAATTAAACGACGCAACGAATGCAAGACACCTTCTGTACAATCAAATAGTAGTCTAATAGAAAGGCTCGAGTAGAATTAGAAAAAAAGGACAAACGCACCCTAAGCGCAATGCAACACCCTTATGGGCAGTAACTTCAAAGTATCAGTCATTAGCGAAAACAGCTGCTGGTATTGCTGTCGTCGCACTGCAGGCTTCTGAAAACAGAAATCGCTCTGATGAGTACGTCACAGTAAACGCGCCAACGACCGCAACAACAGAGGAAGAGCGCCAGGCAAAGGGAAGTGCAGCGGTTAACTTAAAAAAAAAGTGTCGACAACGATTTTGACCGTTCGCTCAGCAACAAAGTTAAAATATATCTGCCGTAACATTGCTGCAGCGGGTGCACAGCAAAATCTATGGGGCGTTGACAGCGTCACTAGCACGGTATGGTCAATAAGCCGACGATCAGTTCCGCCTTCGTCTTCTATACGACCCTTGTCTCTTTCTGTTCTCGATTTCATTCTGTTTGTTTTTGTGTTTATTCTGGTTCCTCATTACTTTCACCGCCACTGGTCACAAATATGCACACCAACCAAAAAAATCATGCGCCAGCATTAGTTATTGCGATATTACTGCTTAAGAGGGAGTGGCTGGAAAAGTTTTTTACGTATTTCAACGGCTCGAATGGTATATTTACGTTCGGCTGTACGGAGAATTTTTCCTCTGGCGAAATGAAGGGAAGCATTGTAGGTCTATTTCGGTACGGTTCGTCTTTTCGCATTTATCACTTCATTGGAAACTTAAGTACTGAACATTGTCAGTTAACTGTTTTTTACGTATGAATAAGAGCATCTTATAATACTTCAGACATGAATTCGAAACAATCGAACGAAGTGACAAATATTCTCGAGCCAAACAATTTACTTCTGATAATGCTGTACTCCGACCTCTATTTGTTTTTGTTAAACGGCCCGGTCACTGGTCTTGAAACAATCTCTAATGTCCATAATCAATCTTGACATCTGAGTGCGTAAGAAAGAAAAATTTATTATATAGCATCAATGAGGGCAGTGGCAAGCGGCTGATGGTTGCTCATTGGAGGACGGCAAAATCATATTGCCCCCAACGTTGGCGAACCGCACAAATCTCACAGATGTGCACATTGCACCACTTCGTATGTAGGTATGACATATCGTAGTCGGATCGAATCGAAAACTGACAACTGCCTGCACATGTTGAAAAAAAACGAGTGGGCGCCTTATTTTAGAACCCAATTACAACAACATGTAGAAGCATCTCTACTCAAATCGAAGCCATTAATTAGCTTTGGCTGCTTATGACTCACCTAATCGTCAGTGTTTATACTTTTTAGCCTTCGGGTCGAAGTGGATTTAAATTCCTATGCTAAACAAAGCGTGTGCAACAAATCAAATGTGATAGAGATAAAAAAAATATCGGTTTGCCAAGAAATTACCACCAAAGCTTTCGCTTTGAAGCATTCAGCTATAGGGTAATAAGGAGCATGTTATTATCCAAGGCAGTGAGGTTTTTGTTGCTCGTCACAACGCTGAATGCCCTGAAGTGCACGTCAGCAAACTTGCCTGAGGTAGGAACTGGAACTAACTGAGTCTTTGCAGCTGCATGTGATATATCAATAATGCGTATTTAACAGTATCCAGTAATAACCAAAGTTTGAAACAAGTGCCTTTTATGCACGACTGTTTCCTTAGGGTGCTGCAACATTGTTCTGTATAGCAATGAACCGCTATTTTAGAGTAACGTCAAATTCCAAAATCAAATGGTGAGATTAGTCATATAATATCTTGATTTGGCTTTAGACCTTTTTTTTCGAACTATGGAGGCCATGTGCAAGATGATTAGGATTTGTAAGATAGTCGTTGTGTCACGACACTCCATCGTTTCTAACCGAGTCACTTCACAAGGCTCATAGAAATCTCCCTTCATTTTACCAGATTTTCTTTCTTCGCTCGCTTGATTGATTGCTTGTTGTAGAACCGCATGGCCTTTACCGCGCTTCAACATAGCATCGGATTCAGTTCATACAGGCTGTTTCAACTGACATATCTCAACTTATTTCGTCAGTTCTGACTCGAATAAATATTAACTTCCTACATGTAACGAACTGAGCATCGGTGTTTAAATAAAAAAAGATCCTAGTTAACCCTTTTTCTTAGCACGAGACCACCATGAACTGGAGAAAATTGGAAAGTAGAAGAGTGAAGGATAAAAACGGATGACCCATTGTAGTCTAAATATTTAAATGTGATAGCATTTAGGCACACAGATGAGACGTAGTTTGCTTAGAAAACCCTTAGTTCCTAATAACATTATATAAGCATTTGGTTCGATGGCCATCTGTTCTTTCGCCAAACTAATCACTATCGCGAGATAAAATGAAATGCACTAAGCCATTTTATTAAACACAGCTGGAAGACCCATGTCGGGGTTTGAAGGATGACATCATGATGCACATTGACGATCTTTGGTGGCAATTAAAAGACGCGATTCAGACAGTTACGGAGAAGACTAGCGAACTTGCTAATGATGCCATGGACACTGTGCAAAGCCCTGAACGCCGGAAAGAGATGTACACGATGATCTCCGACAGGCTACTTATCAGCGATCTACTTAAACATCTCGACAACACTTTTCATACCGTTTTGCAGAAAACTGGCGAATTCGCACAGGGAGCTATGGATGCTATGAAGCATCCCGAGCGTCGACGGGCGCTTCTTGCCAGAATCACCAACGCAATGAATGCCCAACTCCAAAAAATCTCCCAACATTCATGGGTAGAGAAGATGGTAAGATTATACCATTATATGACGCAGACGTTCTGAAAGATGAAATCTGTGTTTGTCGCATAAGTTTACCTAAACTTCTGCGACAACAAAGCGAAAATACCTCCATCACGTCGGAAATAGACGCTTCAGGCTGTACTATCCATTTCTGTACTGTCTTTTGCCGAGAGGCGGAGTCATGTTCAATGTCTTATTTCACTCCGATATTGAACATCATCGGATTTCCGAAGTTTTAGAGTCAGTTCATTTTCAGAACAATCCAGGCCAATGAAAAGCATAATTTGCGTGACATCGATTGTATGGCCCATAGAAAATGATTAACGGTCCTTAGCAATTTCGTATGTATAAATCAATAACAGTACCTCATTTACTTAGATCAGAATCTATAGACTGCTGAGTTTAAGCACACGCAATAAATATATGTTTGACCCTCTCGAACAGCGAACCTCTACCCTGTACCAATCCTTAGTTCTTAACGGAATTATCATCATACTACATATTATATACGCTAGCTATTTCCGATCAGAACGTATAGACATGTTCTTGTTCTAACGCAGCACAAGTTATAGTAAAACATAGTAACAATAATAATAATGATCAAATGCTTTCCCTCGTATTTGTGCTAAAGGAGACTGCAATTTCTTCGGTAGACAACCTATTTGGAAATCAAAATAGTCCGGGCTCTACGATTGTACGATCATTGATCAAGCAAGTAGGATTCAAAAATAACGGGTATGCCGTAACACTGATCTCTGAGACTTGGCGCTATTACAAAACGGAGCTGGGAGTTTTACTTACAACTTACCGAATTATGACTATCGCACTTCCAGATCACCATGACGAATCGCTTCAATCACTGCCTACGACGAGCTGCTGGTACACTCAGGAAAGCTGGATACGAGATTTACAACATTTTCGTTGAGGAGTTTAAGGGTGTCAATTCCTAATGATTTCGATTTGTATATAAATAGAGCTACTAATATATGGCATCCTTATATACTCATCTGTACAGTCAAAATGACACTAATCTAAAACCTCGACTGTTAAACATATCTAAAAACCACCGTGCTCTTATTAATATTATGTGTAAACTTCGACTCAACCTTCGTCGAAATAAATCATATTACCACCCATTAGAGTGACAACGCGCCGTCTCATCAATTTCGGTTTGTCAACAGGGTCGCGCTTTTTATATAGCTGCCAACTGTACAAAGAGCATGACCGTGAGAAAGCTGTTGGTCTGTAGCAAGTAACTAAAAACTTTCCGTTAAATTCCCATTACTCTACACGTTCTAAATAACTTAACCCACACAAAATCCGCTCTAGCATTTTTCTTAGCTAGCGTGAAGCTTTACCAATTTGTAATCAGTCTGTTTATCATGTCGTATTCAGTGAGATAATATCACCAATGCTGCGACTATGAAGGCGTAGATCGAGGGTGAAAAATTACAGCTCGTCAAGACAGATCTACTAAATGCGTATTGAATTCCGTAGCAGTCGACCTAACCCTTTATATCTATATATAGCTATCTGAATGCTTAGGTTTCAGTACGAGCAACGTTAAGCGATCTAAATGAAACACAGCATGCGTACTTTGTAATTGTTCATTTATTTTTATAATATATTCACACGCTAATTGCAGCACGTTCCCAATTCAACAGGTTCGTACACTGACGAATTAGGTATTAGGAATTATTACTGGTATATAGTCAACTTGCCACCATCAGATATACATAAGTCCATCAAATCTAATTATTTTTTCTGTTACTATTTCTATATACACTTTATGAGGATAGGCTCCGCTCCCCGCTCTTTCGTGCATCGTATCGTTATCAGAGTGTCGGCCACGTATCAGCAGCCGTGGACTCTATTTTGCCTTTTGTTTGCGTTTCACGCGCTCTAAATAGCGGTCTAATCTCGAGCTCCCGCCAAAAGCTACCCAAACAATTGCAAGCTTCTTCTCTCGTCGCTCGGAACTCCTTCCATACGCAGAAAACCTTCGACCTCTTTCATATTGCCTTCCAAAAATAACTGGCTGACAATCTAACTCAAACCAGCTTCGTCCTAAGCCGTATCGAAGGCATTCAATAGTAATAACTAACGCACGCAATAGCCAGTCGATTGAAGTTCTTAAATGAACACAATTCATCACCAACGGTAATTTCGCTGACGAAGCAGATCTAGCTCAGGAAATGATGAGTTCAATATCTCCAAATCAATTATGCTACAAAGGCGCGCACTTTTTAGTGAAGGCATATCAAAGCACATTTATCAAAACGTAACGGACGGCACAGGCCGTAAGCTGCCTCTGTATTAGCTTCAGGAGGAAACAGTTTGATACAAGCGAAAAAAAAAACACGTATTCGACTTCAGTGTGTCGCCTCGACATGACAGGCGCCAAAGCGAATGAAGATAAACACGACAATGTAAAATTGGCTCTTACAACTAAACGGCATAATAGATTTAATTTGACTGAAAGATATGGTAGAGCAACCATAGAACGCCTAAGCTTTCAGTTAAAAACCCTAGTCAAGATTCGGAATGCCATTCCACGTACCTACCGCATTTTGTTTTTATAAGGCAAAAAATATCGCGAAATTTCTGTTTTGCTGCCTTAGCACAATTGTAGTCGTTTAGTCGGTATAATTGAACACGGTTGGCGATACATTTCTTATTTACATTTTTCCACTGATTTTCACAGACAAAGCCCTGAACTATCCATCACATCATTACCGGAAAATTGTGCGACTGATTTCACATGCCTCCAATAAAAATGAAATATTTCCACGCATTTCGAAGAAATTTCCTCGCATACTATCCCCATTCGGTATGCCGGTTTTCTTGAAGTGGTATTATTACCGGATCGCATTTAAATGCTTTATAGTATGCGATCACGGCAATGTGTATTGCCTCATTCTGGGTCATCTTGCTCGGTAAGATAGCGCAAATTCTATCACTAATAAATTACTTACATTCATCTGTAAGCAACTTGCAGCCGGTCGATCCATTTATCTGTGGAGCGCCGCGCCTTCCATTCACGTCTCCCCTCGATATTATTCGCAAATTTATCTGCCCCTTCCCGTCCACCTATATTCACCTATACAGGGTGATGCATCGCGTTAGCCTTTATCCTTATTAACGAATCAACGACACATCCCGGTACAATTTTCAGCGTCTACTTGCATCCTCCCTTGCTGACGCGCTGTTTCCTTTCATATACAACAAGCACAGTGTACATTCCCGTACAGACAGTCACACCTATGCGTGCAAGTAGTCAAACTGCCTGACTGGCGTTTACAGATTCAATCGTCTCTCAATCATTCGATCATATTTTTAACAATTCATCGAGTGTCGACCCGGAGCTTAGTACCAGCGTTGTCCTAAAGTCTGCGATATGCTTCTTTAGCAATTGCGACATTTTGTATATGTCTCTTGCAGCGGCCGAAGTGTCTTACCAAAGGTACGAATCGTTAAAGGGCCATGTGGGGGAAATGGTGCGCACGGGGTTGACCAGGCAAGACACAGCCATTAGCTAGAGAGGAGCCTTTGTCGATACAAAATACAAAAAAAGAACTTGTTTTTAATCTCTTTCCTCCATACCAAGTAGTAAAGCTGCTTTTTTTTTATTAAATATAATAATAGAAATTATTATAACAGCACTTTCGCTAGTTGTTGCGGGTTGAGAGAATTCTCACTAAGCATTTCTCGGATTTCTATTTCGTCACTGTCGACTGACATAAATGTACACAGAATATTCCACATTTTATAATATTGTCTATATCGGCACTATTATTATTACAAACATAATAATAAGCGACGTGTCTTTTTCCGATCGTCTGCTGCACCGATCGTTTATCAGCTACTAATTAACATTCTAGTCGTGACCCTAGCGTGTCGGTGGGACGGCGAAAGAAAGCTGCAAATTTTATCCCGTAAGGCGACACTATCTTGATATCTGGGCTTCTTTGATCCTTGATGCCTGGGATACCTCTGAGAGTTTTTCAAAGGGTGTGGGTCTCGCTATAGTTATGTTTTGCTTGTCTGTTCGTGCTGCACGGGCACGTTTACTGTTTTTTTCACTCTATTCGTTCAATTTCATTTACCCACTTTCGTTCAATAGAAACGCTGAAATGAAATAATTACAATAAAACTAAGTATGATCGATATTAGTCACGGGAAGCTGCAAACAACATTAGCTATTAAAGAGAAAGGAAAAACTTCCCTATTTGATCGCAGACGGTCTTAACTAGTGAGACGGCTTGAATAAAAGCTTAACAGTCGTCATCTACAGGGTCATTTCCAAAGAGAAAGGGAGAGACATAGTATCTGAATGAAATGAAAAAGAAAAAAACGAACATTTTTCAATGTTCGTTTTAATCTGCTAATTATTCTTTGTAAATCTATGATATTTATATACATATATTATTTCCACCCGTCGCCCCACTACTCGGCAGAAAACTAAGGTCATCGCGGGTTTTAGTATGTCAGCACCTTTAGATGGTAATCCACATGTAATACGGCATTCTACAGAAAGTGCCATTGTTACAAAGGTGACAGTTGAAATTTCCAAGCTATACTATTAAGAGTATCAGAATGCACAGTCATTTAGCAATCGCTCTCGTAGCCTACAAGTCTGAAGAACGAAAGGCCGAAGTAGTTTTTTTTTTTACTAACCTCACCAACATTCCCATATGCCCAACTTTCTTCTCGAAGCCCCAGCATATCTCGTTTAACACTATCACTATCAAGTAACACAGCCCCACAGCAGAGTAATTCTACTCCGCATGAACAGTTAGCAAATGGTTACAACATCTCTACCGTAGATCCCGCTACCGATCCTCCCCTATACTTTGCATCCTAATTAATACTAATATATATATATATATATATATATATATATATATATATATATATATACATATATATATATATGTATATGTATATATGCAGCCTCTAATTACAACAAACAATTGTTTGACGTCGTATCTTGCCAACAACACCGGTTTGACTCTGTTCAATAACAGTTTTTCGCAGTCCTCCTCAAAATATGCCAAAGCCATTGTTTTTCCACCGATTTCGATAAACGCCCAAAAACGATTCGTTTCTATTCATCAGCACCATCACCTCGCGCGCTATACAAACTGGTTGTTCGCGCTGCCCTGTTCTGCTTTTTAACAGCTGGCCACAAATGCAGCTGAGTAATGTGAATGGGCATTTCTAACTGCCGATGGTTGAATAAACGTTTTGGAGTGGCATTTGGAGAGAGAAGCAATGTCTGACACATGGGTTGGTTCATGCTGGATGATCTTTTCGACACTAAGTGTCAAACACTGAGGGCTCATCAGCTTGACAAACGGGTATACAAGTAACGTTCACTTACAGAGTCAGTTGTGTTTAAAATCGTTAAGAGATGTATGTGTAGGTTTCCTTTTGTCCTTCGACCCGTGCCATGTAGTCCTTTTCGATGAGGAGGTCTATGCATCTCTTGATGGCCGGTACGCTTGGTCGGAAGTTGCTTAGTTGCTTGATAACTTCGCTGATCAGCTGCTGATGTTGGGAGGTCTTTCGCATTTTCATAATTCGAACGATCGCTGCTTGTATGCTTTGTTGTCGATCTTCGGCTATATGTCGTTGCGTCTGCTCTTGGTCGTGTTTAGCCTCGGACTTGATAGGCTGATTGATGTTGACGCGCGTCTTTTTACTCTGAAAGCTATATCAACAAATACGTAATGTATCGCAATACAAAGACAAATGGTAGTAGTAGTAGTAGAAAATGCCCTAATAACTGTTTAGTCAATAACCTGCAGCGGTATGAGAGGAATACACGAGATGCGGTAACTGAATCCAGACAAATCTTAATTTTAAATTTTCTCTGTAAAACGCATACTTGCATATATCGTTATAGGTTATTTCATTAAAACTTCGATATTGGGTATTGGCGCAAGCTTTGCTGTACAAATTTTGCAAACCGTACCAGGTTATTGTCGATCATTGTATACTAGGCTTATTCTGCTCGTCTTCTGCTGTTGGCCTATAATGGCCTCGTTGGATTTGTTGTGTATTCAATGGCATACTCATGTCTAAGTTGAGCCATGTGTCTCTAGCTAAAATCATGTGCTCGAGTTTGTGCGCCACATTCCACAGACAAATCGTTTCACGCAAATTTTTGTAACTTACTCTGTATTGATTCTCAATTCTGTAGTTAAACCCAATTCCTCGCAATCGGATGTCGATGTTCCAGCGACGTTAGCTCCCGATGTTCCGGGGACGATGGCTAAGACCTCCTGCTTGACCAGAGCCTGCACCACTTGCTGAACCATATCGATCCGCATGTTTGTGCCCATCTGTAGATGTTGCAAGGTAAGTTTGTTACTAGTCGAATTGAACAACAGTAGAACGCCCATTTGAAGCGTTGATGCCTGAAGATAGTACTTCTTTTGGAAACAGTTGGCCAAAAGTTCGCCTTTGCTCATTGAATACAGCCATGTTAACTTTCGGCCCGCATGTTTAGTAGAATAGAAGTTGGCAAACATCGAAATGCAACGTTCTAGGCTGGCTGGCAAGGTAAATTCATATTTCTGATGTGGGAATGGCCACAATCCAGAACTCAACACCTGAACACTGAAATCGATTTGTAGCGGGTTATCTTTTGTTGATGTTTGAATGTGCTCCTTGAACTGGGGAATCAAATCTTTGGAGATTGTAGCGTCTTGCAGCATACGTTGGAGCTTTGATGTGTATTCATAACCACAGGCTGTTTTTAGTTTGGTGAGCATAGATGCTTCGGCGTCTTCGCTAGCCGACGACTGTGTTACCAGCCGTCTAGCCAACATTTTCGAGTAGATATGTTGAAAAGCATCTTTATCTTCTACATATTTGAACACAATCATAACCTGAAACGAGATAAAACCTCGTTAACATGATGATTTAATAAAGTTTCAAAGCAATAATTAATTAGGAAAGCTCTTTTCGACACCAAAAAATATCTTTGAATTACAAAAGAGTTATTGAAAACACGCTTAAATTAACTCAGCTTATATATAGTATGTGATGCATACAGTCGTACCTGATTAAGAACATCTTCAAGATCACTCTCTTCAGGGTTTCTTGAGCTCTTTTTGAGAAGCATGTCACAGTATCGAACGAGCAAATCTGGACCCTTCGAAGTGCCGGCTTGTGCGTGCCGGGTCTGAAAGTTCTCATTTATAAACTGACCACACGCTTTGTCCAGAGCTTCGACGAACTCTGTCAAGATAAACACCCGAAATATATAAAAAAGATCCACAGCGAAAGATAGTGTTAACTCAAACAAGGCCTGTTTGATAAAACTCTACATGTGTGGAAAAAACACGAAAATATCCTAGTTTTATCCTAGTGAATAATATTGATAGGTAGCAATAAACCACTAAAAAACGCGTGATTCTCTAATACCTTATGGACTGATTGTATACATAATTCGTGACAACTGTTGAACCTGAACCTAACGCAATTGGGTGCGTTCCTACACTTACCGACATCATTGGTGAAGGTATCTATCACCAGATCCGAGTATTTCTTATGTACCGTTAGTATAGCATTGACGTATTTTCTGGGATCGGCATCCTTTCCCTGTGCTTCAAGTGCAGCTTGTCCCTGTTCATTGATGTGAGTTTCAAGTATCCCGCGCAGGGCAGTGAGTCCTCCCGGAACTCGGGAGACCAGGTTGTACATCCGAGCTAGATCTGTCTTTCGATCTTGCTCGAGTAACTTCTTAAACTCTATGTCAAGCGGATATATAGGCAATCTTTAAAACCAAGCAGTCCACAACTGTGCAAAATAAGTCGTGCGTACCAACTAATGACTGCCTAATGAAAACTATACTGGCATGTTATATGACATGATATACGGAGACGCTAATGCTGTTATCGGTAGTGTGCAATTAAGTAGCATTGTTATGAATAGGTTCAATATTTGAGGGCTTTGAAATTAATTCCGAGAAAATTCGATTGGTCTTACCGTCATAAAACTGATCTAAGTGCTGCTCGATAAGAACACTTTCGCAAGTCTTAGCGAGTGTAGGCAATGTCGTTTCGTGAAGGTAGCGATAGACACGGTCATTTTCTTCCTGCAAAAAGCTCTCCGCCTAAATAAAGGCGTAGGCAACAGGCCAAAAGCAGAACCATTGTCATTACCAATTTACGTGCTAATGCGTGAAGAAAGTAATCATACGATGTGTGGTAATACAAATCGATGAAACAACAGCATTACATAAAAGCTACTTGCCTGAATAAGGAAATCTGTGACGGGTTTGCTATTTAGCAGTTCGCTGCTTTTTGCGGAATAGAACTGTCTTGTCTGATCGAGGAAAGCATTCTCAAATGCCTAGCAAAACAAACAAGAAACACCGTTGGTTATACACGATTCTGGTCTCTCTTCGCAGCCAACCGTATCTCGGAAGGGTTTATTTTCGAGGCAGCTATAATCAGCGTCACCCAGCGCGATAAGAAAATGTCGCAAACTAAAACGACAGTATAAAAATCAACTTTTCTTCGCACCAAACGCGGTCACAAGATAATTATCCAATTATATAGCAGGCCCCAACATCAGAATTTATTTTAACGTACCTCTCGATAGACGGATAGATTTGGACCTTTTTGGTGACCTTCCTCGGGTTCATTAAGCCCCAGCTCGACATAACTTTTTATTACGCCAGATATAAGGGTAGTGTCTATTTTGGCCTTGCCGCGTTCTTGTTGGATAAGTTTTAGTACTGCGTTCGTCACCTGTCAGGAAAAAAACAGACATCAACACAGATTTAAATGATCGAGGCAAACTTTTCGATAGAACAGAGATTTAATGATCGAAATAAGTACGTCAGACCTACAGTGAGCGTAGGATATCTTACGAGAACGTCGTTGCTGCTTAGAACTGCCGAAAACCATTCAACAGGTACTGAACAACTTGTTCCTTAAAGGACAACTTTCTAGAAATTGAGGTCTCCACTGTGGGGAACTAACTAATGGCTGGCAACGGGTTATCAACTCCTAAATAGATGAGCAAAATCAAGATCGAATCGACCTGCATCTCTGATGTTACAGTAACGAACGAGCCTTGCAAAAAGTGCTGTCCACGAAACTAGAAAGACTTGCCTTATCTTTGTTTGAGATCATTGGCTTGTCTATCGAATAATCTCGACATGCACCAATCGAAAAGATTACTTGATCTATGAGACGGTAGTTCAATTTGAATTGGTCGTTCATTATATATTTCTTGCCCAAACTACACTGATTTTATCTCTCTCTCTCTCTCTCTCTCTCTGTGTCGTTTCCATTTTCCGAGCGCAAGGGAACCAGCAGCCATTTTGTTGGGGATGCATTATCACAGCCAGGTATTAAACAACATAGCAAGATTCGAAATTTATTCGAATGCCAAGCAAAGTTACTTCAAGTTCATTAGTAAATCAACAGTACATAGATAAGGTATTTGAGCTGATTTGGTCTGTCGACTCTAATTCACGAAAGATATGTTCAAACGTTGCGGAGCTCCTATGCATTAAAAAACAATGTCGAATTTTTAGCTGGTCACCTGATGACGGCATGGCTATTTTCTTGAACAACCAATAAACGTCAATTAGTAAAAAACGAGCCTAGGGAATTCTACTCGGAAGTCCTTGTCCTTTAGAGGAAATAAAACCTAGGTTGAAAATAAATTATATGCTTGGCTGACTTTCTTCATTTCGTTACACAGTGTAGCGTACCAAGTAGCGTACCGTAATTTGCCAAAATAGGGACTAAAACCAGAAATCCCTAGCTCTTCGAGTCGGAAGTCGGAAATCAACTGTCGAACGCATCGACATCATACTTACAAATTTCGAGATAACTCAAAAATGCGCAAAGTTTTATTAGTTTGAGATAATCAGAGACGATGTGGCTAGTATACATTATACTTATATATATATAAGCACTATAAGTTCGATCATATATATCTGACATTATTCCTAATTTGCTATTAAATCCTCTGTTTAACCTAACTGCATTAACATGGTCGAAAAGGGTATAAGCAATCCGAACATCGGAAGAAAAGCTATAGGCCATGGTAAGAGTATGGTACCTTTTCTGAAGTCGCTATACACTTCAAAGATTTATGCGCCATTCTTCGAAAATGTGGAAACATTAATTTTTATCCTTCTTACCTTGTTATGCAACGCCTTGAAGAAGCATTCCCGCCAGATGACCAGGGCGAGCTGGTAGATTTCATAGACATCCCTACGACTCTCTTCACATTCGCGCTTAACCCAGTGTCGATTGAGGTACGAACAGATGCCATCTAACACGCGCGAAGAGAACTGATACTCATTCCACTGCCGGGTATACGATCTCAGGAGCTGTGACAACACAGTAAAAGACATAACAAATGTATTCAAAATGGTAATTGGAAGAAAAATACCTGGAACGTGTAATCCACCTTTGTAGTTGCAAAGTTTGAATCAAAGACCGCATCGCAAATCATGTCACATTTGCCACACGCTATTAAGAAATTTCCTTATCGTCAGATCATACGAACACCCGCCGAGTTGTCGTAAACTCAGAGGCACGGAGCACAATTTCATTCCTTGGAAGAACCTTAAAGACGATGCAGTATGCACGCAGTATCGTAAAATGTGCGCTAGGTTCACAAGGCAAAAGCGTGCGCATCTGATCTATAGCAGGCGTAACGCGCTGGAAAATAGCTAACTTACATCCTCATCGCGAAGGTTAATAGTTTCTTCATAAAGTTTGTTGAGGTAGCCACGTAGAAATTCTTCAAGTTTCTTATACAGTTCGTGTCCGACGAATTGTGCGCCGGATCCGACGACGCATCGGCTAGTACGACCGTTCGGACCTGAGCTCGGCGTACGCGCGGCAGAAGCCCCTGCTGGATGGTTCGGGTGTACAGATGTACAGTAGTTGTACACGTGAGTATATAACTGCATAAATCGACTTTTTTTCATAGATTGGCCCTTGTGTTCGTACACCTGTAAGGAAACACGCACTGTTTAATAAATGTTTATGAAGTAACACGTGAAATGTGTCAATGCAGATCATGCACACAGGAGATCCAATTAATTTCTGATAATATATGTATGAATTTATATTGCTGTACAACAGACTCTGACATCGCGCAGCGGATTCTATACACATATATATATATAGAAAAAGTTCCAAATTAAAGCACTTCAATTTTAAAAAATATCACCCTCAGGACGCGTACATTGAAAGAACAATTTACTATACAAGTATGAATAACGCAATGAAAATAAATGTGCAGAAAAAAAGTTTGTTTACCTCACAACCCCACGTAATGCGTTGAAATGACGACATCGGCCTTACGAACTCCCTATTTCTATTATGAATTCATAACCTAACCTTCGGTCCATGTTCTCGTTTTTACATTAGTTTACCTAATAGAAAAATATTGCCGTATCGATACCGGCACAGATTAGTTAGTCCATCCATGCATGAAAGCGCATTTAGTGAACGAAATTCTTCTGTTCCCGATAATAGGTATATATTCACAATAACTACTTATTTAATTTGATTTATGAAGCACTAGCAATGCTTCACGTAGTTAACGTATCTAAATATAATTAGAAGCTGAAATAAGATGTGTGCTCAGTGGATGTGTCCACTCCGCAGAGACGTATACAAAACTAAGGCAACGAAGGCTGCCGTATCGATTGTCATGAGCTAACATTCACGGTCCTTTTCTTGTGATGGCTCATTTGCTATACTAGAGTAGCTAATTGTCTAGGGACGATTTCGAATACCCCATTTTTGATCGAACAAATTTTTTTCTTGAGCAATTAAGGTGCATTGATCTGCGCAAGCGCAACGTCAAACGAGGATTTGTTAGAAGCATAATTTGGCACTGTAACACAATACACAGCAGTTTATATATGTATATACATACCCCACATGCAAGCTCCCGTGCGACTCGTTCAGCGTGCCAATTCACCAGGATTCTAAAGGACAGCACTGAATGTACAGCCATTCACCGATCGTACTACGACCGAAGCGCTCAGCACACACATTGCTCGAAACAATTATATGCGCTATAGCAGAAGTATGGCACAATCTGTATGTCACCGTATTTCAGCTTCATTTACATGAATGCTACTGCGTCCAGTACTTTCTATCGTCGCATAATAATGCTCATGAACAAAATCTTAACTCAACTTAAGAAGCCTCGTAGACTGGCCGTGTTTTGCCCACTAGAACTGCTATGGATCCACTATCTCTGCCATTGTTATATGGACTGCCAGACTTTCTAATCCGATTCACCTGTTTCTATAAATGTTGTCGTTGACTAGTCCCATACCCATTGCGATTTGCCCTCGTGTATGCATTTGGCGTAAAATTGAAAATATGAATCGATACAATGGCACCAAAACCATCTACGGTGCGTAAGCATTTCAAATTCGGTTCCGTTTTATTTAAGATTCTTCTGGGGCATGACGTCGCTAACACGTACGAGCTTTGCCCTAAGACAAACACATGAAACAAGGCAGAAATAACATTTGAAACATTCTCAGTGTAACTTGCCGTGCTGTTACTGCCACTGTGAACATAAGTATTGGCTCAGTATCATCAAAGCACCATTAACAACATAAGTTCAAAGTTCACTGGTTTGCTAGGGCTGTTACATACAGCAATGCAGAACCACATACAACTGATCAGCAATAAGTTGTCACAATCATTATCGTCGTCTATTTCGATTGGGGTATTTTTCGAAATTTTTATGTACCAATAGCATTGTCGCATGTCTTGGAATCCACCACCCCCTTATATAGAATGCGGAGTTGATTTGGCATATTTGAGCCATCTAAGCACATAGATACGAACAAAATCACCACATACGATTTGAATTCGTAACTACTTGCACCTTGGCCTACCTCGTCTAATCTTTGATTAAGTAAAATCTTTCTACCCGTAATACAACGTCCCCTAATGATACGATGCGATTTTCGTCAATCACTTTCGCCTTCGGTACTACAGCCCCTCGATGTTATTAAGCAACGATCACTGAACACGAGCTTGCCCTCCTTGATCCATTAGCCCCACTTTTTCACCGTTGAATACCGAAAAGCTGGTTCACCTATCGTATTGACCAGCTATCACCGAACTGTGTTTTCTTGGTTGCCGCTGGTCTGCATTGAGGCAGTCTGCATACAACAATATACCAATGAGACGACACAACAAGCGTCAGACTGCCTTCTTTACCAGTGTCAACACGAGTAGCCGTAGCGCCGACTATCTGACCGCTTGTCACTCTGCCGCAACTGTGACAACGACACTGTGCTGTATACGAGTAAGGTAGCATTGAAATTCTCTCCCATTGCGTCTTAGTATAGCAAAAAGAATAATATGTAGCAGTGTCCACAAATACCGCCACCCTAGCATCACAGACCTCAGTCACGATTGGCATTAAACTCGGACGTCCATAGTGAGTGGGCGTCTAAGAAGGGGCAGTATCAGGCTCATGGCAGTTTTCCACAAAGGGACGTACATAAATTCAAGCAATAACAGTAGCTCCTGTTTCTGCGTCCGTAACGAGTGTGCCGCTAGCGAATTACCGCGATTCTCTTACCTCTTTAATACCTGTCTGAAGATCGTCCCAGATCTGGTTAAGGTCGGTTGGCCGAAGGCCGTGATTTCCGCCGCTCATGGCTATTAGCAGTAAATGCTAGAGTGTACACGTAGCAGGGACAGCAGTATAGTCTCTGTGGATAGATTGCCTATGACAATGACCGTGTTTGTACACCGTTCTACTGCACCGGATGGATACCCGCTGGCCAGAGCATGCACACACACAAACACTCACAGCTTATAACAAGGACAGCGATGACCACCAGCGAAAACACTGTACACTACTGCTACTCGATCACCATTCACCGGCGGTTATGCTCTCCGACCTCAGTCCCTGGCTCTTGTTGCCCTGCTAGAACAACTCCAGCTAGACCAGCAGCAGCTGCAAATAACAGCTGTTGAAACACCTTCACAGGCTGAAGGTTCACAGGGCGTTGCAACTTTCCTTTACTTGTTCTGCCTACAGAAATCCTACGGCAGGCATCGAGAGTCTAGTCACCAGATAATACCCACACGCACACACCGGGGGAGCAGACCTGGCCTCAGTACACCGATTGCACTATTGCTGATGCCTGCTACCGATGCTATAGCTATACACAACTTCTAATGCGGTCTGCATGTACGCACGAGAGCAGTAGCAGCAGCAGCAGCAGCAGCAAAACCACCGCCAGCATCACCAGCATAATTGTGCTGGTCCAAGATGTGCGTGCTGTTTGTATGTGTGTGTCTCTGTCTGGGTGTGTGTGTGTCTCCGTCCGTCCGTCTGCGACTTCGTTGTTGACGTGTGACGATGATCTTTGTCTGGTGGACGGCCCTCCGCCCACAGCCACTGCTTCTCTTCACGATGCTGGACAATGACAGAAACGGCGGCGGCGGTGGCGGCAACGGCAGCAATAGTGAGACGGCGACGTAAAGAAACGCATGCTGCAGCTGCTGCCGCGCTGCCATTCACAGATACCACTTTCCGCTGTCGCCCGGTTGGGAAAAATGCTAGTTTTCCCAAAAAAATATTGTACAGGTCAAAATTCACTGAGAACATGTACACAGTAGAGCGCTTATCGTTTATTCCGCACCCTACTTATGTGCAACGTTAACTATATTGCTCTTGAATAATTTAGAGTTGATACCTTTTTAATAGTATTTGTATTGTAAATATAGCCGAGAGCACATTATGATCTTTTTGATGAAGGTAGTTTTCGATAGTTCTCTAACAAGTCGACTGCTTAATACTACTAAGCTACAATTTCGATGCGCACTATTAATGTAAAACAGTGACAACAGATATTGTATACGGTAAATGGCTTCTATATGAGAATCTAAATGAAAGGTAAATAAGCAACACAGAACTAACGTAACTTAGCTATATAGAGATTTTAGAGGTATTAACCCATTGGTCGGAAAGTGACTTAATCACCACCTTGCCATAAGGCTTATCTATATATCTTATATAAAACTATCTATCTTATATAAAAATAGCAAATATCCGATAGTTCGGATATTTGCTATTTTTATTTTGTATTACTAAGGTATGTGATATATATTATGGCTATTTCTACTGTGCCGTTGGACAGTTATGAAATTAGAACATGTAACTTATCAATCTGGCTGCACAACTAGTAAATAACAATCAGATTTAGATAGATACGTACGGAAGGTTATCCTTACTAAAAAAGTTAGCAAAGCTAAAATCTACATCTCTTATATGAGTGTTGAAAATAACGCTGTAGACAAATCACAATGGCCGTTCGGGCAACCGTTCGATGCACGCTTTGTTTCAATCCAATTTGAATCTTAATCTAACGACCCACTTGCAATAGTGTTTTTATATAGGTTAACGGGGTTTATCGACCCTTATAGATCTTGGCTGATATGGCTGAATGTTTTGCTATGGCGCAAGAAACAAAAGGAAGTGTTCTAAATTTTCACGCAATTTCCTATAACTTGAACGTTGAGATAGTTTTTGGAAGCGACTCATAGTGTACCCGCACACATAATTGCTTGTCGTACTTCCAAAATTTATCTCGGAATATTTTTTCTACGAACTGAAATGTTATACAAACTAGTCTGTAATTGCTTCGCAGTATTTGGTACACATTTATAACTAAATAAGAGCGACTGTGGAATGGGCGATCTTTCATTAAATGGGCCCATAATTTAACTCGAATTAATAATTGTTTATACGTCTAACTTCGTCTGCCTTTTTTTCTTTCTCCTTTGCAGTTGCAAAGTTGTCAATGACATTGCGGCCAAAGCAATTTTGCTTTGCTGATTGCTGAATGCTGATTGCGCGAGAGTTTCCAGGCGACAGCTCGGCTAAAAATAACGCTATAACTTACGACTTTAAACTTCAATATCTATATTATAGTTCAGTAAAATTATATTTTCTGTTCTCCAGCTTGTCAGTAGCATATGTTTTGAATGTTTGCTTGCAAATCGATTAATCTGAAACGTAGTCTTCATCGTCTAAATAACTGCCACCAAGCGTTTTTATTTCGAGAAAAATAAACCTAGTTACGATTCTTTAGTTTATGCTTAGTTAGGATTCTCCGCCTCAAATTTATTGTTTCATTGTTGCCTCGTTTAATTATGTGTTGTTTTATTAGCTCATATTTTGCATGTCTGAACTGTAAGGAAATAAGACCGAGAGATCTGAAGGTGTCTAGAGAACCCGCGTCTTTGTTATCATTTCGAAAATGGTCGTCCAGAGGCCCTAGTAAATCTGAAGGATAAAGGAGAGATGCACAGCCAGGCCTCATTATATAGCCCGACCATTTCTTTCTGGAACACTTACGAGCGACCCAAGGGGAAAAAGCATTAAGCCTGAAAGCAGGCGAGCTAGGATTCAAAAACGGATCAATCTTACGATAGACGGTGAGGAGACGGGAAGTATCCATAACACTGGACTGGGTCACGAGCAACTAAAAATAGTAAAAATGCCTAGTTGAAAAGGAAAGAGCTTCATGGACCACAAAATCCCAAAATTCGCCACACTGAAGTTATTCATGCGGTGTGTATCGTTTACACATAATAATGTTCCTGCTGCAAGCAAGTTCAAGAAAAAGAGGAAGTGCTGTTTACAAAAACTGATACAGAATGCAATCTTATAACAGGTTCAGTTCGAAAGACTAAATCCATTAGCTTTTTTTTTTTTTTTTTGTGAAAACGCTTGTTCCGAGACACAATGGTGACAATAGTGTTCTACAGTTGACGGTAGGCGCCGTGGGCCTTCCGCGTTTCGTTCACGTTGTTTTGCAAGGAGGTCCGAAGCGGCTAAGGTTATATTTGTTACCTTACACGCTTGGATTCGAAGCGGCTAAGGTTATATTTGTTACCTTACACGCTTGGATTTACGAAAGCTTTGCATGGAAGATTCAGTTAACCAAGCCGCTTAAGCGACTTCAACTTTTATTGACTTGATCGGTAAACAACGGAAACTGCTACAAATTGGCATCCGAAAATATCCACGCCATTTGCCAATAATCATTTTGTGAAGATAAAGTAACTATGTAGTGATATAATTGTTTTTTTTTTTAAACCTAGGTGCTAACCTTTGTTGTTAGAAAAAATGTTAAATAGCATTCTAAGCCGTAATCTGGAGAAGTTTCACTTGGATAATAAGTTGTTCTAACTTAACAACGCTACTTGCCATTTGAAATGGCAGAAAAAAACTTTTCAATTTTCCACGGGGCACTCGCACTATAATCACCTTGTTTCAAACTTTTAACGCCGCCTGGTCCCTGTGGGTTTGTCTTTAAATAAATAAAGTCGTAGAATGAGCGGTCGCTTAAGTGATGTAATATACTAAGTATGTTAGCGGATTTAGAACAGCCCTTAGCTGCACAGGCGAAACAGATTTTCTGCGGCTCAAGGTGCTACCAGAGAACCGACGTTTAAAATTGATAGGTAGCAGCAGTACGAAAAATAATCAAAGCTGATTTAGAGGCATCGGCTTTTTAGTGCGTGAAGAGCGAAAGGCGAGCGATTTGGCAGTAGCACTTGGTAACGACTTCTATCGAACCGAGATGAATCCTGTCGAGTGACGATACAGGCCATTGAAAAACAAGCACATGATTGGGTTGATTTGGAAGTAATAGTAGTAGTTGGACAATGGTAACGTGTTAGGCCACTAAGTTGTAGGCCACCGAAGACGGTCTAGCTTCGAAATCGAGAGCATACAGACTTCGTTTCGTCACCTGAAACAATGCTTAACGATAGTACAAGACAAAACTCAAGGCATATGGACTACTAAGTCCAGCACAAAAGTACATCTTAATAGTACTGATGAAAAAATAGCAAAAATATAACTTTTCATCCAAAAGAGAGAACACACCTAAGAAACTACATTCTGCTGCAGCGAAAAGTACAATTCAAAAAACAGTTTAGGTCTACGCGTTATTTCCGCATATTATATTATATTATATAATATTAGAATTATAATTATAATTATAATATATATATATATATATATATATATATATTAATCCTAATACAAAAAATCGATCATCTCAATTCCATCGAAGATCGATTTAGACCCTTCTGCACGACTCATGTGCGTTTCATATATTGACATCATAGAAACGTTTATAGACTTATGTTAAAGAAAGTCGAAATGTTTTCATTCAGTAAAATTAGAAATCGTATGATTTTATTTATCGCAGATTTATACTGTTATTTCATTCTGGAGTGTAGATTGTATGAGCCAAAAGGAGGCAATAAGTTGATTCAAAAGGCGTAAACATGAAGACATATGTTGATTCAACATTCTTGCTCTATCGACGTTATCGTCCTCTGCTTATATGAACTAGCTTTGAAAACAATTTTCAACAGCCTTAATGTAGAAATTGTTCATACTTAAGGTCCCTTGTAACCCTATAGAAGTGTAGCAGTCCACATATATATATATATATGTTATACTTTCTTCTATTTAGTCTGCTACGAACTATTTTAGCTTAGTCGTGCTTTAGTTGTCGCTTTCACTCTGAATTAACCCTAAAAAACAACACAATGTATGTACTTCCTTTTTGTAAATTAGTTTTAAAATATCTCTGCTCAAATTTTTAAAATATCTCAATTTTAAAATATCTCAGGTAGAAGAAAAAAGAGACATTTTGTTAAGTTCTATGTCTTCATAGGTGGACTTAGTTGCTTGTATCAGATTCGGGCTCACAACGTGCGGTACCTTAACGATGGCCTTTTGCCAAAGCTATGCTCATATATTGTATCTTTGAAATAGTTTTTCTATTGCCTGAAAATCAGAATTCAAAGGACAGAATGCTAATTGGTATCCTCATCTGATGGAAGCCACATTATGAACTCCTTAAGGAGCTATTGTTAGAGCTATACCGACAAATAATACTACAAATTTTCGTTTCAGATTGCCAAAAAGTGATCATAAATTCATGTCTGGCAACAAAAATATGTATGTAGTTTAAGCTAACATTCATCGCCTTTACACTGCATAATATTATGATGTCGTGTCGCCGTCGTTTGTACTCACCATTCGCCATGAAGGTTAATCGTAGCCTTGAACTTGTCGGGCCGACTCCGGAGCTTTTTTTTAGATGGAAGCTTTTGTTTGTTCTGCCCCTAAAACATGCCTGTAGTAAGCCTTGTTCATTTGCTCAAGGAAAATGAAGGTTAGAACCGTATGAGGGCCCAGTCGAGCATAGTACGGAGTAAAACCCTTCCAGAGAGCAAATAGCCCTTCGCTTCGAACCACCTTAGATAGCACATCCTGTAATCGAAATTAATTTAAAATCTGGCTGAACATAACTGTCAGCACTTATACCCTATGCTGGCCACACGGAGAATACCAGAGCATTCGAGTACGCTTCTGCATGGCGTATGTGATAATCAAATCAAAATATGGTAGTGCCAAATAACCTAAGACCATCGTGGTTAAAAAATCTTCGAAGAGTAAGACATCGACAAAGAAAGAAAGAAAGAATTACTAGGCATAAAAATTCAAAAGCATACCAGCGCGCCAGTGTACTGAGGCTTGCCATCAATCACTTTCATATTCTGAATTCGTGTCTTCGCAATGTCAACCGGCATTGAAGCTGTCGTCGTTACAAGACCCGAAATCATCGATGCCGCAAAGTGACAGCCAATGTTGTCTTTAAAATGGCCAGTGCCTAACAGGAACTGTTTCGTCTGTGAGTAGCTGGCAAGTTGGGCAGCATTTACTACCATGGCGCGTCCAATTGTTGGCATACAGCCTCGCCAAAGTGTTAGGACATTTTCTTCTTTTGCGATTCGAAATAAGGCGTCAAAAACGTTACGGTAACCTCGACGTTCCTCCGGAGGCAATCGTCCGTCGGATGTCATACGGATAAGTGCAACTTCAGCTGGCGTTCCGAAAAACGCACCGACGGCTCCAGCACACATGCCGATTCCGGCTTTCATGAAGAAGCTCGGTGAGGAAGACTCTGCTTATGATACAAAAATAGAATTATTATTACATTGGTCGCTTAGAGACGTGAGTGAATAGAACTCTCGCTAAAATTAGATTGCTGTAGATCGGTGACATTTGGTAAAATTTGTGTGTCTATGATAGGTGGGGATTAAAAATATACGCTATATAAATCATAAACGAATCAAACATGTATGATCGAAAATGTATCCTTACTTCACATGGAGTATAATATCTTGGGCTCCTATAATAGTAAGCTGGAGTAACTCAGAACTCACCTGATGCCCACTCGAAAAGCGATGTGTAAACGCCCATTCTAACTGTCGTATATGATGCTTGACGAAAAAGACCAGCGCTGAGGCCCGTGTATAGGCCAAACAGGCCTTCATTTTTTACAATACTACGGAAAGCATGAAACGAAGTCTTGTGTTCCTTGGCGACTCCACCTTCACCGCTTAATTGCATTCGATTTTTAATCAGATCCAAGGGTTGTACAAACAATGTGGCCGCCATACTGTTGATAGACAATAGATAGAATAATATGAATACATTATAATTTATAACGAAACATCGTAAACGCTAACGCCCACATAACACAAGAGCAATTTACAATTTTAGAATAACCATTTGGCAGACCTGTTGTATCTTCCTCGCCCCTTGTACTAGCAGTATTCGTAAGTAATATTTAGTTCATTGAAGAACCTTCCACTGCTCATCTTCAGCATTTGTGGTGAATTTGTCTAGATTTGGTCTATGGCTTGTCAATGGGCGGACTCGGATCTACATGGCATCAATAGGTAACTCCACACCACGTCATAGTAACTTTAATAATAAACGAATAAGAATAAACTTAGATTACCAAATCGCTCTAGCTTTAACTCTACCTGATTAACTGAATGGAACTAAAGTTTACATTTATATAAACTTTAGTTTTTTTTTTTTATTTGATTAGTTTAGCTAGAATACATCTGTAACGTATTGACTCATATTAAAACCAGAGTAGCGTTTTTCGACAGCTTTTTCATTCAAGATCCGTTCCGCTAATGACCGCAAGTATTTTTAACAACAAAGCCTTCTTTTGCATCCGCATGTTTGTTTTTCTATATATTTTCATGTGACTGACGTATAGTTTAACTATCGATGTTCAGAGGCACAGTTGTTGTATAAAGTGTTAACAAAATTGTCGAGCTTCTCCATGCTTCCTTGAGTTGAAGCAGCCTAACTTTATATTATATAGACACATAATATATACAATAATAATTAATATTATAAACACACCTTACTCAAGCACGGTTGAGTTCAATAGATAACCAGCTACAGTGAAATGTTTTTTTTTTTACTGTTCACAACATTATCGGGACGCATGTATACGTTCACTGTGCTTTAGATTTTCTACCAGCATTCTGGTCAAGGATTTAGGTCTGCTCAAGATTATTCTAAGGTGGGCGCCGTCACACGGTAAACAAAATCGTAACTTACTACACTACGATATATAATATGAGAAACAAACGATAAGTTATAGCTATTACTCGTTAATTCAACTAAGCGTGGCCTGTATTCCCACGTGTTTCTGAATCATTTCAGGCACTGCGTGAACTTGACTATGGACATTACATTCTGAAAGCTTATACTGTCCTGCTTTAAATTATTTGATTCGTTATCATGGTGGATAAACCTTACGAAGACACTGATTAACATACTAAAATTCTATTATATAACAAGAAAACGTACAAATTCGGCTACATACTTTAGTGAAAGAAGCATCTTTTCCCGGAAGTTACCTAATGATCACTTTTTTTCAGGATCTCTCGATGTGGGAGCAGGCCAAACAGACATTTTGAAATCTAAGACGATTACAGTACAAATCATACGCAAATGTTAATGTGTCAATTAATGGGACCACTCCTCAAGTTTGCTACTCTCGCTTGTACTACCCGAATAGAATCCGAGACGCGTTTGTTCGCGCACAACTTACTAGACCTATGGCAATAAAGTGTCCTAGAAATAAGAAACATGTCCACTTTTTCATCTATTTCGTAAAATGTACGATTGAAGATTATTTTCTAATGCCAAACAATATTAGTGGCGAGATATTATTAAGTGAAGTAATTATGAATCCCAATGCAACTAGGCTGTCGGAAGGTGAAGTCGTACTACTTTTGAATAGGGTTTCTCATATGAGATGCGCTATTGCGTTTTCATAGGTTCTGATTGCATAGCTAACTGTGGCCAAGTGTATTCGAAAAAAATCAATATAGATTTTTATTTCGGTAAACTTGCTCATCAACGCACGCTATGAAAGGTTTTAGAAGTATGATATCCACTATACCACACGATAAAATACACTGTAAAATAATGAAGCAGTACTAACTCTCACTTACCCAGCTGATCCCCCAAGGATAAATTTAACGCTTCGCGGGATACTTTTAGCCGGTTCCAACTTGCTAGTGGTGACGGTAGCGGCCATTTTGGCGCAATTCTGTTCAACCCGAGCTTGACTTTCACTAGAATACTCGAGACTCTGTAAAAAAACCTATGTTTTTGTTATCCAAATTAGATAAGAATCACTCTCCTCATTAAAAAAAGTGACAAACGGGCGGCCGCTCAAAAGGGTCAGTCGCTCGAAGATCATAACGATGCTTCCAATTCGCCTAGACAGGTTATACAGCGGTCAATTCGTAATCCTCAATGAAAAACATCTATACGATCTGAAAACGTGAAAAATATGTAATAAAAATATATATATGTATATAAAAATATAAAAAAGACACATGAGAATAGATGAATCGAAAAAGTCCTCACTGGGACATTTGTCAATAATGCTGCGTCCAGGCGAAATACGATGTGTCATCGTGTACGACCCCAATGTTGCAAGATAGTAATTATATTAAAACGGATCTAGCGATTAACGCACTCAAGTGGGCAATGCAGGGGCGAACTCTAAACAAAAAATAGTATAGCACTAAATAAATACTCATTGTCGCTACACATGTGCAAATCGGTAGTTTTCGCTGTGTTTTGCTTGAGGTCTCAAGTTTTTAAAGATAAAACGGTGGGGCAAAGCCTATCAACCCAGTGGATCATGTCCCACACGAGAAAGGGAACTGGCCGACTGGTTGGGTCGGTAGCAATGACTGGTCGGTAGTAAAGCCAAACGCTTCTAGATAGGAGAACGTTTACCGCTCGATTAGAATGGGAAAAGTCAAGGGGTAAAAGATATTAGATACTGAGGCGAGTATATTCAGATTGGCAGTTGCCGTTGCGGGATAGCCTTTTCTATGGTTGGCCTGCGACCGACTTTCCCATAAACAAACCGTAGCCTATAAACAACGCGAAGCCATTAAAGAAGATGGCCGCCATTTCTAGACCGATTAAACTGTTCAAATTAGAAAATCAATAACGCTTGTTCGTCGTTGACACTAAATAGCACGTGAAAAATGGGAAAATAATGGTAGGATGAAGTTACCAACTAAATAAAAACGATGTCATATTTGATTTAAATGTGTAGCCAGTAAGTGTAGAAAGTTAAAGGAGGCTCTCAGCAGAGGTTTATTATGAAATATGGAAAAGACAGAAATAAATATCGAAAAAAAAAGAAAAAAAATATGAAAACTTTCGTCGCATTGGATTCGGCAATTGCCGTCAGAGCTATATCCTATATAGATATGTATAAACGAGACATTTGGTGAAATTATAAATAGACCATATCAGTTGGCTGTTACGGACGGATCGTTTGTAACACGTTCTATGGGGGGTGACCGGTTAGTGATGAAATGAGATAGCCCTCATTCACTGGGGCTGCGTAGCGTATCTTCATTAGCTGTGGCTAATGGCAAACAGATCCATATACTGCGTGACTACTCCCGAGCCGGCACAACTTTATAACCTGTCATTGAATGACTTGTTGTCTAATCATTGCTGAAACCGAGAACAAGAGTTTTAACCTGCCTTTTTTCAAGGGGTAATCAAGTCGACACTCTTTAGAGAGGATAAGATTATGAATCCACGTACTGGCTGCTTCCGTTGAATATACAACCTAACCGTTTCACGTTGATCATTTGAAGCTTAGTATGACATTGATAATTGTTTAATATTTTTGCGATAAACGCAGATACTTCGTCAGCGTGAGTGGACTTGGGCTCAAGTAGATTAGCCGAAGTAAATGGATGGTACGTTCAGTGTGAAGTATGATATAGGTTCGTCAAGCATCTAATTCCTTTGACATCGTGCGCTATGAATCCGAGCGGTATAACGGCGAGATATACGAATCATAGAAAGGGTTACAATTCAACTTTTTCTCGTCTAAAGCTTTCTAATAATCATATCGCATCGCTAAAACAGGTTTACAAAACAAGTGGTCCACAACTCTACTTACTGCCAGTCGTTCTACCGTTTCAACCGTAATATTTAGGATCACCACCGCTGGTGTCGATCCAATTATGTATAATCCCGCTTATGTATTTATAGCTCTCAGAAAATTTGTGTCGGAGACTCACTAAAGTGTGTTGCTACCAGTTGAAGTTTACTGTTCTAGCTTATTAGAACCTCAACCAGCATTACATGGCTAAAAACCAAACGAAAAAAACTGACGGAGGTAAAGCCTGTCGCAGAATAAAACTGTAGCAGTATTTCTCATTCATACCTGATTGAACAACCCCTGATGTACCACCAAAAAATAAGGTTAAAAATTACTCATCGGCTTTAAGTTCTACTCGCAGCGTCAAAAAGATGATTCCTTGTCGCATGTGTGTGCCTAGGTAGATAATTGAAGTCCTAGTTAATCAATATATAAGGCAAAATATCGATTAAGTCAACCATGGGATCACCGTGGAATCGTCTACGCATTGTAAGAGGAACGGATCCACAAGTCCAAAACAATCATTTAACTAAAACTGGCAAATCTTTATCACTAAACTATTTTAAAATACCTTAAAAGTGTCACTTATTTAGGAATCCATTTAGCGGTGCTATTGTTTAAATTTTAGGGAAATTTGCCTAAACCAAAGTGAAATCAGTGCCCTGGTCGGGGTCTATGAATTTGCAAAAAATCTGGGAAAAGCCATAGGCTTAATATAGACAATGAGTTGTATAGCATTAAATCAGATGAACCATTAGGACGTTCATAGCTTATAGATAGCACTAAATATAATTTATTGGCCTGTTGTGAAGCGCCACCAAGGGGTCAGAGCGTGCAACTAATCACACCCACAGCAATACCATAAAGCTATTCTCATATCGGACCACAAACTTAGTTACCTCTAATCTAACAGACGCTTAAGAAAATTTTGTCGGTAAAGCTTTACACTTTTACTATATCTATTCGTTTGAAAAAATATGTCCGACATTAACTGATATCATAGTACAGCTTCTACAATCTTAGCAATAACAATCAATTTTGGAAAATGTCCTAAATAACTTCACAGATAACTTTTCGTTAGAACCGCTCACCGATACGACGGTGTAGACCGCAGAATCGTGCGAGATGGCGCGCGCAGTGTCACTCTCTCTGTCGAAACGTAAGGCCACCGTCACAAAAACAACTGTCTCTGCCTGCCTACCTGTCGCTATATTCAGCGAACGAAGATAAATTTATCGCCGTGCGCTTATGAGCGCCATAGAATATAATCGCGCACAGTAGAACAAGAGGCACACGCAGCTGTCTTTCGACACAGAGCACTCATTAAGGCGAATCCAGTACTACCATCTATCTGCAATCTAAGGCACATTCTATTTGCTGTTCTTGAGCGCAACAGCCAACCGAGTACTACGTGAGGAAATGCACTAGAGCATCGCGCAGAAGAAAGGGCTTTGATCATATAAATGTTAAGGTTTACCTGACGATATCGTCTGCTCTTGCGGACACAATGACCAGTTGGCGCGCGAAAATAGCCCGTGAATCAAAGAAATTCGATGTGCGAAAGGGAAAAGACCTAGCTGCTGTGTTTTTAGGGTCTCTGGAGCTCTAAAGCAGACTGTCGGCTTTCATCTTGTAGCAGTCCAGTAACCTGTATATGTGTTTTTGGAAAAGTTTAGAAACGATAAGTTTTTCCTCGTCTTTAGCGGAATTTCTGCAGGGGTATTCTATGTTGCACCGTTGTTGAAAATATCCCATCTTTAACAACTATAAAGAATTATTAGGCAGTAATACAGGCATACACAGCGCCGTACTATTCCTACTTCAATGGTCGGACGGACTATATTCTACATATGATAAAATATTTCCTTGAGAAGAACGCTGTAGGGTTGTTAGCAGAAAGATTAACAAAATGTTTACTGTGTTACCAAATGGAGGCTATAGTTGGACCCCACTCGACTGATTGTGACGAAATCCACTGATCCGACTAGTACACCAATCAAGAGAATCAAAGAAAGTTCACCATCATGCGCGCTGTTATGTAGAACATGAGCACTTATTGCACGACTTGGTAAGCAAGAACTGATCTCTAGTGGCCATTGTAGATTGCTTAAAATGATACGAGCGACGTGCAAAAACCCCGGCAGACTGAAGGAAAGCAGGAAAGAGCCTTTAAGGAGAATGTAGAGTTTTCGTTGTAAACCTGCTTATCAGATTCGGCGGCTACCAATTCACCCAATTAGAACGTTCGAAAAACAAAAGCAATCGCTAACGCGCGTCGAACGAACGATCGACTGATAGGTTTACGCAAACACGTAACTCCTACACGTACAAGCCTAACACCAACTGTATTGCAGCCCATTTGGGTGTGTTATGGTCAATCGAGCAGAACTATCAATCGACTTAAGTTCTACGGAGATGATGATTATTGATAGAAAGTAAATGGATTCTACAAAAGATAAACCCGTCGTATCGACCGGTCAAGACAATGGGAAATTCAGTGTAATAATACGATAGAATTGTAAATTATACCATTGCAGATAAAAAGGGTAACGTGATGTTCGAGTCGGTGAAATAGAAAACAAACTATCTATCGGCGTACGGCGAAATCAGTGGCAAGCCAACAAAATGTGCCAAAGGATGATTCAGAATCTTACATTTTTTTACACTATTTAAGAATTCCATATATATAGCTCTTTTGCGTTCTCAGCATTCTCGCTTTCCATATACTGAACTAAACTACATCTGACAGCTGTCTTTGGGAACCTAGTTCATCTTGTTTCGACCATCGGATACGTCAGATTGACATATAAGCCGTATTCAAAAAGATAGTGCAGAAAACTGAGCACTCTTATACACTAGGGCGACAAACAACGGCGAACTCTCAGCTATCCCTTCCTGTCGAATAGGTCCCTGATTCTATGCCGAAAAAGCAGACTCCAGATTTCCAGGACTTTTCCTTAAGGAAAAGAACGCCGGAAATGTAAACATAAGAAAACTGAAATGAAAGATGTTTATGAAAAATAGCATACCTGCTAGGTTCGCATATGTAAACATATGCGCCCGCCTAATCCAACATAACACTCACTAAAGTATTAAATATGCACTTGAAGGCTAGATTTAAACCTGTTTTCATTAGAATGCACGTAGAAATGTAAGTAAATAAAACTTATACGATTTTGTTCAGTAATGTATTATGCAAGCCTTACATGGGTGCTCGATTCCGGTAATGTTTTTTTTCTTATATGTGTACTCTATTCTCTTTTTCCGACCATTTGTTTCTAATAGTTTCCTTGTATCTATTTATTCCTGCCATTTTTGAGTCTTCTGCATTTTGCCGCTTCTATGGAAGATTCTTTCGCGTCATTCGGTTCATTTCAACGCTTCGGCGGCAGCCACAAACAGATACAGCCGCTCTGTTGTTATTGTTAAAGAACCCTCTGCAGAGAGAGAGAAGCGGAAAGGGGAAGTGGTGAATTAGGTTCCGCACAGAACAAACTGTCCTTGTTGCAATCGTCTATCTATTTGATTGCCTTTCTCAGAGGTGTGATGAAGTAACCATAATAACTGCCTGAGTAATGACAGCGATGATTTTTCGGACCGAACGGAACAAACAGAGGGAAAGGGTACCTCCGTTTGTTGACTGCCTCCGTGGCAATCGTCGCCAGACGATTCGTCTTTAGTAAGCTGACTACGTTAAGACAGAATCGTCTATACTATGATAGATTCTTTCGCAAGAACTCCGACACGAACGTGTTCTATAAGCTAAATTGTGCTATCCATTGCAATGTCAGTGATGAAGCGTTTCTGGCGACCCATTGTCGACGTGTGAGATGTGGTGCTCATTTTTGCTATTTTGCAAGCTCCATGAACGCAACGGTAAGGTTGTGTGCGATCGTCCGCCTGCGCGTATTCGGAACCATAGCAAATTCTCACGCTGAGCCTAGACAGTCGAGTGACGAACGGGAATTTAAGTCGTAACTTAGTCAAATTAGGACAACTTGAAAGACTCGATGAACTACTCATTACTGTCGATTGTCCAATCGAACAAGACGGCTACGTAAAGCGGCGCATTTGGCCGAACGTTGTCAAACGCTTGGAGCTTGCGTTGGCAATGGCCCCGCCGGCACGTGGGGCCCGCGAGCAAAAGCTATCAGATGGATTGCGAAAGGTTTGTGTACTTTATATTATTTAATTCGTGTCTATAGGCCAGTTATACTTTAATGGTAAAGTCGCAAGTGCGGAAAACATATGTTTTCCGTAATGGAAAAACAGTTCTCAAAGTTCCCGTCCGCCTTAGCGACAGGTTCAGAAATATATGGTCCTAGTTCTATAGAAAATAGATCCACTAACCGATCGAAATGGACGCTTGGCAGAGGCTGAACGATTGTTCAATCACGCTCGGTAGGTTGTGTTAATCAGGTGGGTGCAGGCCTCAACCAACCGCACAGGCTTCACGACGCTCAGTTATAGATGCGGGTTATTATTCAGCGTCTGCTGCATTTGGTTCCATTTATGGTAGCCATCACAGGAATAGGTTGACAAGCGGATGGTACTTGTTTTCGGGGGCATGCAGCGTGACGAAAATAGTGTCGCCAAAAAAAAAAATAGATTATGAAATTGGTCGGATCTGGTAGAGCTAATGGGTGCATTACAAGATAATGGGGTACTATATACAGTAGTCTAGTATTGAGGGAATGCTATAACTTCCGCAGCCATGAGGACCAATATTTACGTGTTGCGTGTTTGCGTAGCGGGAACGAAGCATCAATGGTGATATATGTAATAATATGGGAGACGCCGTTTGTGCTAGGGAACGCGGAACGTCGCCCTCCTTTCCTCATCCAACACGACAACGAGAATTCACAATAGTGATCGTATTATTTTAGTACGGAATACACAAACGGCATGAATATTATGGTGATGATGAATTAGGTAAATTTTAAGAAACATTACATATGCTTGGTCATGTAGAACGCAAGCCCGACGATTTTAGGACAGTCATTGACGAGCGTTTTAGAAGTACTATAAACCGCCTATAGTCTATAGAAATATTCAGTAATATAAAAAGACGCTGAACCGTTGGAGTGCGGTCTATGGCATCGCAATTTGATTTCTGAAACTTCCACATTTTACCTAGCCCCTCTTGATAAAAGCTTTATTTATTATCAAACGTTTTTCAGATAAACCTTTTCTTTGTAATTTTTGCATATTACATTAGCACGAGATGTTAATGTAAGAATTACACTCGAGAATACCTGGCACCTTTTTAAGCGACCTGAGCTATTTTTTTCTGCAATTTCTTGTACTGTTACATTTCACATACCGTAATGCGACTATGTCAAACTTGTCAGTTCTTTTTATGAAGCCCCCGAGGCTAACTATGTGCTTTGCTGCACCAGTTACAAGAATTTCAGAGGCGAAAAGAACAGTCAGCCGTAGCGGCCTCGGCCTCGTCTACGTCTACTGAAACTACCATACAAAGTGCTACTTCATCGCAACAGCAGCCGCAGCCATCTTTGGCATCTCGTCAGGGGTTACAAGATGCCATCCTGCAACAAGCTCAATATCATTCAACACCTAGCGTCGACCAGAGCCCCCCGCAAATGGCAGGAGGTTAGGTCAAAAAAACTTTTTCTACCAGTGCTCTTTCTTGGACTATAAATATATATATGGGAAAATACCGAAATGAATCACTTATATAACAGTTTATATTTTAGTACATAATGTACGTACTTCGCAATAATCTACCTCATATCAATTGCAGCCATTACACAGGCAGCCATCTGCGCTCCACTGACTTCAACTGCTGCAGTAGTATCACCTGTGACGGTCTCTTCTTCGACGGATGGCGAGCTCGGGCCTCGTTTGCAGAATCTCATTAGCCAGTTAGCGGCCGTCGCTGCGTCCGGGGCCACGCGAGATCTTCGCCAGCTTGAGGAGTTACAGAGACATTGTGTGCAGCTGGCACGCGAAGCTGATGAGGCTCAGCGAGGCCGACAAGGTCAGGCCGCTCAACTGGACTCACTTCGGGCATCACATTCACAAGCGACACGAACAATTGAGCTTTTAGTAGAAGAAAAATCGCGATTACAAACTGCGGTCGATTCGCTTGAGCGGCAGCTTCGGGTACGTGCTCACGAGGCTCTGGTGCGCGATGCTGAGATTCGATCGTTACGTGAACGTGCTACCATTAACGACGGCCAGATAGCTCGTTTATTGAAAGAGAAAGAGCAGTGGACACGAAAAGCACAAGCCGGTGGAGCTGCTGGAAGTGAAACCCCACCGTTAGACGGTGCTGCGTATGTTGACTTCTGACATTTTTATCCGTTAAACTAAATAGCTCTTGCTTAATTCATTTTGTGGCGTATTATTAACGTCCCCTTTGTAAAATGTTTTGTTGCGGGTGCAAATTTTCGGCCTGCGTTGAGTGCTAAGCTGTTCAAAGAGACTTCCTCAGTGAGATGAATTATATGTTAACACATTAGGGCATGTGCTTTGGTGGGCTTCATTGTTACTTTTCAACAGAAACTCGACTGTCGAGACAAGTTATACTAATTTGCAAAAGCAGGTGCTAGAACTTGAGGAACAACTAAGACTATCGGCTGAAAAGATAGCTCAGCTTCAACGGACCGAGGAACAAAGCCGGACCGCTTATGACGCTGCTCGAAATGAGCTTGAAGTGGCTCAAGCTTATGTTCGCCAACTGGCTGGCACCAGCGGTGACGAGAGTGCGGACAACTTAAATAAAGCCGAGGCTACGAGAAAGGTACTTTACCAGTAATGCCAAAAGTACTATGGTGACCTCTTTATTGTCCTTAAGTCCAATACCAACCGTGATTTGCTTGTTTGGTCATTAAAACCGTGCCACGTTACTCACCGTCTAAAGTGGGCGTTATTATGGCATTGATCAGTAGAAACTACTCGTTTATTTCCGAAATTACTATTGCCTCCAGTAATGTTCATGTTTTTCGTAAATATTCAATTGGCTCTCTGTTTTGTTGCAAGTCAGGCTCTCGAGTCTCAGCTGGAACGACTTCGTGAGGAACTTGAAACAGAAGTTCATGAACGGAACGCTGCCGATTTGATTGCTCGTAACCTTGAAGCAAGTAATCGAGGTCTGCAACAAAGGGTTGTCGAGCTGGAGAGAGCTGCGGCCGCATCCATTACCGCTCAGTCACAGCCACTGCAAACGGCAAGTTCTTATTATTTTCCCAATCAGTTCATCTCTGTAATAGAGACAAGGAAGTGCTCGACTTAATCGTTCTGATATAACTAATTCCTGCCAAATTGAGGCTATGCCAACGTTGTATTTGCTTAGCTGCCATACGTATAATAGGCCAAAGAGTAGACGTGACCTGAAGTGAGGTCTGATCAAATATTTGCGAGACGATAGCTAATTTACAATATTCACAGCTATTGACCCAAGGCCAATTCTTCTGTGTTCTACATGAATAACTAATTTGTTAGCTATGGGGATTGTTAGATTCGTTTGATAATGACAGACCCCGTTCCGAGGTAGAAAGGAAGTTCATACGATGTTTTGGCGAGGTGTACACTAGGCAATTATATTAGAATGTGCCCAAAAAAAAAATCAACGAAATGAGTTGACGCACGGTTGAGTGACTGATGACCGAAACTCTGTCACGATTGCTGTCAAGCTTGTTTTAGATATGTACATCATTTCGACATTAACCTTCAATCATTGACTCATCACAGGTGGGCTCTAGTAGCCTCGGATACGATGTGGAACAACGGGATGTAGGGTCTCAAACTGACGCCGACGACCACATAGGAACTCGCGCAGATGCAGATATGCGTCTAATGGACCTCGCTGAACAAAACAAACAATTCCAGACTGAGCTTTATCAACTACAAGAGCAGGTGGCTGAATCGTTAATGAATGTTCTATTGTTTCAGCTAGCATAAAAATAACGGGAGTAACATTCTAAAAGCCTGATAGAGCGATGACATTGTCGAACTCTGTTGTGCTTGTATTATTACACTTGTTCTAACGTGTTCTCATTTTATCATGGTCCAAACGTATAGCTCTGCAGTGAACGTGGCCTGTGGTCCGAGCAAACGATGGTACTAAAAGGCCAAATAGCAACAAACGCGGACGAATTACAGCGAGCTAAGGTTGATGCCAGTCGAGCCGTCTCGCAGAACAGGCAACTTAAAAGTCAAATCGAAGAGTTGCAGGACGTCTTCGTTAAACTTGTAAGCTTCTCAGATATTTGTGTGTCTATCGTTGTGTGTGCCCAGAAATTACTTCAGTCGCGCCTAAAGTACTCGACAAATGGCTAAACGAGTCTTCAGCTAGTGACTGATAGCCTACAGATTACCTTTACAATCATATATGATAACTCGATTGCATGATTGATAGGTGAGCACGGCATCATAGCTGCTATTATACACATAGAGCATATTCTGCTCACTCATTATGTATATTTCTTTTTGGTCGATTCGTGTTAGTCTATTGTCGATGTATTGTGAACACTATAAGTGATTTTGAGTTCTCGTAACGTGACAGAGCAACGACAAACTTGATTTGACGGAAGACGTCCATCGAGAGCGATATCGAGCGCAACAGCTGGAGGCGCGCTTGCGTGACCTGGAAACGACAATAGAACTACAGCAGGCGCAGGCTACAGAGAAGGGAAAGGACGAATTAGGCCCAAGCAGTGTTGCGATAGAAGCTTTTGAGCATAACGCTAGCACTATGGACAGTCAGTTACAACAGTACGCCCTTCAAGTTCAACGGTTAGAGGCCCAGCTCACAGAGTGCACTAGTCGGTACGCGTCGTTGGAGCGCCAGAACGCTCAGTGTACTCTAAAACATAAGGCAGAAGCACGCTTACATCAACAACAACCGCTCAAATACACCGTAAGTACATACTGAAACGTAGCTAGATAGTGAGCGTCTCTTTAGTGGTATTAGTTTGTTAAAGTCTGTCCTTTTATTTTTATGCTAGTTTCGTTAGTTGTATGAATCAAGCAGCATAGACTCACAGGGCACAATATAGCTAAGCATACCTTTCTAAATATGTTACATATATACATGTGTTATTTCAATTTCTCGTGTGCTTACACAAATGATTGGTTTTGTGACAGTACGGTGTATCGCGAATTACTGAAGATGAAGGCAGCCGAAGTTTGGATACATCACAAACGTTGGGCGATTCGCCTGGAGGCTCTTTGTCGCTGTCCGAGTATGAGTTTGTTGATACGGCGCCCCATGGAACGCATCAGCCGTCAGCACGAAATGCGGCCTCTAATAGCGACAGTGACGCGGTCAATAACAATAACTCTGATACCAGCAATCACAATGCCGATACGGCCGCTAACGTTTACTATACTGGTGCCGTGGTGGACCATAATGACTCTGTTGGGGGAGACTTAGCCGAATCAATAGGGGACGCTATGTACTCACTGGATAACCTTTCAACGACATCCAGTCGAAACGAGAAAACGTCCCACGAAATGGACCAGCCGACAAAAGTTCCAATGGGAACTCCGGTAGAAGCCGTCATTGAGAGGGAACATGAACGAAGGCTAACAGAGGCTGCTCTAAAGATTACGCGCTTACAAGGTATGAAATGGTAGTTATTATGTAATTATTGCGATAATAACAATAATAATAGCGATCATGCTGAGTGGAAATGTTTGTTAATTTATTATTATTATATTATTATTTTTATTTAACCTACTATTGAAGGCAGGTGCAAAGGGAAAGTTCAATCAAACACTGATAGTGCCTCTAAGGCTCATAATAGTAACCTAAAGCTGAACCTTTACAGATGAAAAGAGTCAGCTGGAACACCAAGTCGAACAGTTACGTATGGAGACAGACACAATTTCCGACTATATCCAACTATACCAACAACAGCGCGCGGCACTTAATCAACGTCAACGGGAACGGGATGCCCAGATTAAGCAGCTGCTCGAGGATCGGTAAGATCGCGCCGAAGGCGAGACTAGTTTAATATCGTTTAGTAAATTCAACGCGTACATTAAGGTTAAGGGAATTTATATAAATTCCCTTCATATATACTTCATTCATTTAAGTATATCCCTTATATACTTAAATGAATGAAGTGTATACCGTAAATATTCATTATCACATTGTTCCTATATTAGGTGCTAAAAATCTGAATTTTTAGCAACGGGTAAAAACACTCGGGTATTATTGGGTTCATAATGAAAGTAACAAATGAGCGAATATAATATCAGCTAAGGAACGCGATCCTATCGGTGGTATTTTAGGGAGGCATTATCAAGTAAGGTGAATCAGTTGCAGTCGCTTATAGGAAAAATACTTCCTATGACCTCAAGTCAACAAAACCATCAGCAGCCGCAAAAACCGGCTCATGGCAATCCGACTGCGGCCTTTTCACCCGTTCCAGAACAGGCTTCAAAGGGCACAGCCGTCGTTGGCAGTACCAGCAGTGATCCAACATCGAACGAGGTAAATTTCGTTTTCTTGAGACTATTGTGCCATAAGTAAATAATGCTAAATTTGGCAAGCCATGCTTTTGGCAAGAGATACGTCGAACCTGCATATCGAATAAAAATAGCCTACTGTTTCTTCGGTAGGCAAGGGTTGTTCCTAGAGGCGCGAATGTAAACAACATGCGCAAGGTTTCGTGTGAATGACATAACAACATGTTAGAACATTAGTTACATTTCATAAACATTTTTTGACTATATACATCGTCTAACAATTATCTCCAGTCTCTAATCGTCAACTCGTGTATATTAATACCTATGTTACCTTATATATCATATTATAGATGATCGACGACCTGTTTACCCGTATGTTGTCCTACTAGGCAGTCACTGCCTTCCGTATCTGTAGACATCTGATTTAGAGATTTAATTTGTCAAAAAAACCACTGGGGCATTTGTAACATTGTTTATTTACTGAAACTCGTACACATTTTATTTAGGTGATCGCGCATAAAATTCTGCAAACTCTCGAAGACCTAACCGAGGTGTCGACGGCTCCTCCTGCCGGCCTCAACACTTTTTATCGCTGCTCATCGTGCCAAGGGTGTCATGGGAAACTTCTGTCCCTGTAAGCCTTTGGCATAAGGTTCCTCAAGTTGACACATACGGATTATGACCAGTTGACTGCTGCTGCCATTAATCAGTACTCGTAAACGCTGTTGAGCTGAATAAGTAGACGCACAGTGACGCGAACGACACGCACCCAGCATAGATTTTTGCGTGTGAAATACACGCAAATACACGTTGTGTCACGGTGTGCCTATGTGTGCTAAAAATCCCAAATGGTCAAATTATCGGTGTACGTGACACCAGCGATGGATCGATCGTTAGTTGCTGTTTTGAATGAAGAACAAACCTAATATGTTGCTCGGTAGACAGCATTTTTCCAAGTCAAGTATTTAATTTTCATCTCTATTTTTGAGCTTTTCCTTACATTCGACTCCTGTTAACTAAGAGCCACCAGTAGATAGAATCTAATTTAAACTCGATTGCTACGAATAATTTCGAACGAAACAGTTGTTACTTCAAAACAAAATACTGCTGCTGTTGTTGCCTGATAGAAGCATCTTCTTTATTTTTTGACACGAAAATAAGTAATAATAATTCAGGAGTAATGATGACCGAAACAGAATTTGTGTTTTAAATATCTAACCTTCTAATTGATTGGGTCGTAGGCGAATTGTCGCATGGTATAAGTCTAATGTTGGGCTTCATTCTTATCTAGGCGCAATTTTTAGTGGTTTCTCGTGAATTTTGGCAAAGGATGGCGTACCGGACGAAAAAACCATCGATGGTTAAAGTGATGCCTAGTAAGCCTGAAAGGACATGGCCTTTTAACTAGGGTGATTAGTTATACCAGTCTGGCGGCGATGACTGCAGCCCATAATGTAACGCCATCGAAAATCCGGAATATTGATACGCTGTCTAGCATTTCCCTACGACGACTGACGTTGCCGTTTTTATTGAGCGGCGGATGGGAACTTATTTTTCTCAAAACAGGTGTATTTATATATCAATCCCTAAATAACAACTATACATATTACAGCAGACTTGAACCTTACACAGTGTTCCAGCCAGAAAGGGTACGATACAGATACTCGCTAGAAGTTTGTTGGTGTGATACGCCGTATGTTATAATGTGAGGATGAAAACAACGAAGACGTTGTATAATGAAAACAGTAGACGAGATCCGATTTCGTACTGTGCTGCTTTGATCTTTACATGTCAACCATAGATTCTCAATAGGAAAACAAATCATAATTTTGCTTATTAGTACCTTTTTTTTTCGCTGAAATAGTTAACTTTCTTGCCAATTAATTGAGGTTAATTTATCTACCAGAAAATGAGTAACCGATCAGCGTTATAACTATAGCTGCTGCCGGCGAAAACAGAATATATATCAGTTGCGTCAGGATTCTAACGCTTTTATCTGTATTGTCGGTTCGGAGACAGCATAGATTTTAAGTAAAAACAGGTTAAGAAAAGATATTCATAGTTGCATTACATTGGTCCTATAAGTTTGGGGGAACTGTGGGGTTGACACGATAATAGCACGGAAATAGCATAAGATCCACGGACTTCATAACAATGGCTGTCAAAGTTGATGTCACCATCAAACATTAACGAATAAAGAAACATATGTACATATATATATTTTTTTTATTTCAGTACATGTTTTTTTATTCCCCTAGATAGCTCGAGGCATTGATTCCTCTCATTTTCAATTGCTTAGATAGCCAAATATTAAATTATTTGTGTTTTGTTTAGTGCTTTGCTAAGGGTAGACGACCGTCTCTGATGGAGGTGATGCCATTTTGCTTTACTAGCTTGAACTATTATGGCCCTACATACATGATCTAGATACTCTAGTAAACAATAGTTTAGATAACTTATACCAACCGCTCAAATAGTCCCTTAACGAGTGTAAAACCTCGAATAACACTGGTGCTTATTACCTACTGTGGCATACGCGAACCGCTAGGAATAAAAAACGTTACATGTAAGGCATCGTCTAGAGCGAACGGTACCCGCATGTTTATTGGTGTTATATTCGGTTCAAAGGATAGTTTCTTCCACTGCGTATTTTTACTAGTGTTAAGGATTACTTACATATGAACGTTTAAAATAAGGTTCGTAGAGAAATATACACAAAACATCATCTTTTCATAACAAAGTGTACATTGCCGGTGACACACGTTCAAACAGAGTAAGTTTTTCTCATCTCATATGGAGACAACGCAATGTTGCAATATTTCCCAGAACCCTCGTCTGAAGTTTGACTGCGCTGATTGGTAAACACGCGAATGTTATTAACGCATCTTTTTAACACATTTAACAAGCACAACATCATTACTGGCACATCTGTTACTATATATATACAGACTACGAATATATATTACGGCAATGCTATTTAGCAGCAGTAAACGCACAGTCACTGCTGTTTTTTACATCATAGAGTAAAGAACGGTAACTGTTTACATAACGTCACTGTATAACGTGGTTGCGTAGTATTGAGGTTATTAAGGGGAGGGGAAAGGCAGTGGCTGTGACGGCGCCGGAATCAGTCGTCCTTAGTTAATTGATACTGGTCACTGGTGCAGCAGTCGATTCATGTTCGACAGCGCCTAGAACCCTGACAAGCAGAGACAGGTGACGTTGGAGATAGTCCGACTGAAGTGCCGCGGGCAGCGACCCACTGCCGCTGTGTTGACCATTAACTAGTGATAGCAGAGATATCACGGGTCCCAAGAAGGTGCCTTCGCTGAAAATTGTGGCTTGTTTCGCAGCAAACTAGCTTTCGTCGTATTGAATAGATTACTGCTCAAATAGGCATTCTGATTACCGGCACTGTCGAGGCTGTACGACGATGGTTTTGCTTCCCCATGAGAGAGCGAAGAACTTTGGAGGGAACGGTTTCGTATTCCGGTTTTGCTAACGATGGCCCGTTGACATGTAGCCATCGGGTGCTATTTCCTTCGAAGTTGGGAAGGCCAGAGAAAACGCCCCCGCTAATGTTGTTACCGATAATCGCTGAACTTGACAACGGGCTAAGGACAATACTTGGCGCTCAGGAGGATGGGTCAATCACTGGCACCGTAATGAGACGGAACACACGAAGCACGTTCGCTGGAAGAGCTGCTGTAAACTCCTTTCCGCCATTAAAGAACATAGTTGCCGTTGAAGTCGCGTTTCTAGGTTCATCCGATAGTATGAAGCCATGCTTCCGGTGTGCCGTACGTTGCAGGACATGGTAGCTTTGCAGCTGTTCTGGAATACGACCAAAACAAACAAACGCAAAAGCGAACAAAGTTACATGCATTATATCTACCTGAGTCAGATTTTGCTTACTTATGAAATTCGATTGGGGTATTAGGTCTTGAATGCTTTCCGTGCCTGATTGATTTGTCGTTTTACTGTGACTGGGCAGTTCCAGACAATCGCTGAACGCTGTCAGAGTAGCATTTGCCACCAAACCATAGCGCATAACAGCATCGACACATATACGTCAGCGCGAAGCGCCATTTTCAAATTTTGTCGAAGTAGATGGACAAGTAGATAGAGAAAGGATAGGCCGATGCCACAGGAGGCCTGTCGCCCTCATAAGCTTGTCCCTCAAGGGACAAGGTCGGTGTCACAGTTAATGCGTGTCAGCAGTGGTCAAAGGTCATCTGACAATCACATTGGTACCAGCTTCATCAGCTCTTAGAGGTTTAATCCGTTGATGATGCGCGGGAATGGTAAATGTCGTCTGCCGCGACCGTTAATAGCATTAACACCCAGTTGCCATTTCTATTGGCAGCGACCACTGATGAAGTTCAAAGGGAGAGAACTTACATATTGGGTTGCATATCGTGTTCACATATGTCATATTTTGTCTTTAGGTATGACAGCAGTACTTGAGTGGACAGACTTACGGCTGTAAGACCTTTTGCGAACCTAGCGATAAGCAAACGTAATAGGCGAACGTTGATTGTCAATGGATTCAAGTAGATCATCACCAGGAAATGTATCGGATTGCAGGTGTCTACATCACTGTACATTTTGTCGTATGTTTTGAACATATGTGTAGATAGTTATATATTCTTGGCGCTAAAATTAAAAAATTGAGATGTGAAACCAACAGGAGCGTCAAGCATACAATATTTTACATCTGCATAAGATTATTTATTGAT